CCAGAGGCCAGGCGGTACCTGGAGCCGACCTATGAGCAGAAGCAGCAGATCTGGTGGAGAAGCTGCAGCAAGACTTTGTCTCCCAGGTGACTGACTGAATGCCTTACCGCCCTGAAGTCAACAAGACGAATAGTCAGACCTTCCTGACTGCTTCTGGGTCGCTGGCCAGCTCATAGCGGCACCGCGGGAAGATCCAGCCCCAGAAGACCTGAACCGCAAGCGGTTCCATGTCTCCCATGAGCCCTTCTTGAAAGTGCCCCAAGACTCAGGTGCCAAGGAGGCCCCCTGTGTAATAATAATAAAGCATTTTCCCATTTGTTGTTTAAAAGCAGAGGCCTCGGCACTCTTGATTTATATCCTACCTCAGCCACTTACTGTGTGGCCGTGGTGGACACAGTATTCCACTTCTCTTCCACTTAGTTTTCTCATCACTAAAATGGGAATAAAACTAGTTTGTGTTTTATAACAAGTAAGTAAGCTAATGTCTCTAGGTCTATGTTGACGGCAGTGTTTCAATGAGTGGTGTTCCCTTTTTACTTTTTTGTTCTCAAAATACCTCTATTTAAGGAATGTTGTCTATAACTTTCAGCCCCATAATATCTCTCTTGTGATGACAATGTACAGAAGCTATAATGCATTGGAGGGTTACTATATCCAGAGAAAGGTTTGCTGCCCGTGGCTAACCTCCTACCCTGCTGTGCAAAGATTTCGAGAGTTTGCAGTTGGGTGTGTTAGGTGTAGGGTCTCCCGGTGAGAGACTGGCGTGCCAGCTTTGATCAGCCAGTCTGGTAAGGTGAGACCGAGACAGGTTTCCTGATATATTCTGAATGTGTTGTTTTTGTTGTTTTTTTCCATTAAAGACATCTCAACTGGTTTTATTGCATTTCTCTTCAGCACTTCATTAGTAATACTCTGACATTTTATTTGGAGGCAATTTCTCCAGATTGAAATGAGATAACAAGTCTCTAAGTGACGTGCAGTGGAAGAGCGAGGACACCGTTTGAACCTCGTGGGAGGGTTTCTGGGGAAGTTGGATGGAAGGCATTGCATTTCTATAAATGCAAGATGAACGCTAACCAGTGACCTAATCGACTGGATGGTCAAGTCTTAAGCTAATGAAAAAAATGTTTGCAATCTTTCAGAGATGCTTGCTAATCCAAGTGGAGGAAGATGTGATATTAGGAAATCTTGACCTAAGTTAGTTTCCAGTTTCAATGGCTGTGTTATCTGTCCTTCAGTGTTTCCTATTACTCAGGTAGGGGAATAAAAATAATCAGAAATATAGTTCTTTTTTTTTGTTTGTTTGTTTGCATTTATCTTCAGATAGAGTGGGAGGGAGAGAGGGAGGAAGGGAGGAAGTGAGAGAAACATCGATGTGAGAGACACATCGAGTAGCTGCCACCCACATGACCCCAGCTGGGGCCGAAGACAAACTGCAACCAAGGTAATGCCCTTAGCGGGAACCGAACCCAGGACTCTGCTTCGCGGGCCGACGCTCTAACCACCGAGCCAAACCAGCCAGGGCATATAGTTCTTTCTTTTCAAATGTGGCTTTTCTACCTTCCTTTGTCCTCATATGCACATATTATTATCCTGTTTCTTTCTGCTTTCACTATTGTTTCCCCAATCTCCACACCCCACAATGTAAAATCAATTTCACAAGGCTTAAGTTAGGAGTGAGAAAGCTTGTCTCCTCACTCAAAATCACCGAGGAAGTTTGCTCTGAGTTGACCTGATTGCTTTCCTAAATGTGGCTTCTGATCTCCCCTCTTCACAAATGATCTTGTTTTAAGCTCCGAAGTGTTAGCTCCTCTGATAAGCAGTTGAACTGCGATGTAGCCAGTGGCAGAATCACTATTTCAGAACTCGTCAAGAAAATGAGTGAGTCTTTGCTAAGCCTTTCTGCAGAGATCTTGTTCTGAGGATGTTTCTCATACCTTGAGCTGTCCCACCCGGCGCTGATGAGGAAGAGTCCCACGCGCTACCACATCCAACCACACATGCCACTTTGCCCCCTCCTCCCATCAACAGTTATGGTTTTAGGATAGTGGTTTTGAGTTTTACTGTTGCCACAGGAAAGAAGCAGCTACCACTGCAAAGAAACTTTGCCATGATAACTACTATTAATAATATGTGTTGTAGAGCTGAATGAAAGGTGTGTGACGATTGATGACAACAAATGAAGGCGTGAATGAGACAGAGTGGAACTCCATGATGATGGCATCTCTGTCATGTCATTTTGAATATCTTTCCTTTCTCAGAACCCCATGATATCCATGTGCACCCAAAGGCCTTTTTTAGATCACTTTGTAGTAGGGATTGAAGCAGGTGGGCAGCTGACCATCTGAGTTCAAGTTACCCTCCAAGAGTCAGATTTTATGGTATGATGGGAAATGACTTTTGTTCTTCAAGGTCACAAGGGTGTATTGCCACTGAAACATCAGGGGAAAGATGTGGCCCTTACGTATCCTTTTTGAGAAAGTTCTCCAGATCTCACGAGACCAACAATTTTGGATCCTGTCGTATAACGTGAAGAACCTACAAATTGCTCCTGTTCCCCTGTATTGGTCCTTCACAGTTCTCCTTTGACCTAGTTTTTCTATTCTGGGCTTTTGAGATCTGAAAATCTTTCCAATAATGGCCTTTATGTATTCTAATGATATTTAATTAGTTGCCTTTATCCAGCCTTAGTCTCTCTCTCTCTCTCTCTCTCTCACTCACTCTCAAACTATATAAAAAATCAATGATTGTAACAATTCTAATGATCTGATGTGATGTTGGACTGTTCAGGTCTGGTCCCAGAATAATGAAAATACATAAATAAATAAAAAGCTATGATACTTTCTTGCCCTAGATTTCTTTGTTGTGCTTCTCAAACTCATACAATATCGAATGGCAGTTGTATTTGGTTTTTGTATTATCAAGGATATGAGAAATATGCCACAGAGTTTATAGTGAGATTGAAGACTACAGATGGTTAAACTGACAAAGGGGATAACCTTAATGTTTTTGCACATGGTCATCTAACCTATATTTATCTTCTCCACTCCTGCAGTACCAGCCAGATGAGATGTTAGCCTATGACTGAAATGAAAAAGAACATGGAATGAGCAGGAGACAAGACGAATGAATGAAAAGATGAATATATTTCTTTAAAAAAATATGCAAATATACACCTTTTTGCTTATCACATATGTTGTATTAATGTATACATATACATAGCATAAGCATTTCACATAATTTTGGCACTGTGTGCAATTCTATAATAAGCTATTTCGTTTTCTTCAGCCCCTACTATTTTAGCTCAATAACATCTAGAATAGTTTAGCAATATATTATCACATTTGTACTAGAGCTGCCTGAAATACACTGTTTTCCATGTTTGTAAACAAAAATAGAAACACTATTACATAAACACTGTGATTGAAAAAATACCTTCTCTTTAACTCCTCCGTTACCTTCAGTAAAGGAGACTTAAACTACTTTAGTATCCAAAATATTTTCTGAAAGAATATAATTTTTTAGGGGTACACTATATATTATATGTAACCAGAACAAATTTTTTGTCTTTCCACAACTTAATCACTTCTAAAGGCAGTTGCATAAGATATCATAGGTGAGACTTAAGATTTGGTGGGTTTCAATGTATCTCCTCATTTAGCATACAAATTAAACAATGATAACTCTGATCACTGTTGCAAATTCATAAATTAATTTCAGGTGCCAGTAATGATACTGGTTTATTCAGGGATTTTTGATGATTTTAGATTGACGAAGTAGAGACATGGGAATATAATTTTGGGCTTCAATAAGAAACTACTTTTACTTTAAATAAATTGGTATGTGGTTAAACTTGTAGTGGTTACATATTTTTTTCCTCCTCTGGTTTTGCTAATTATAGCAAACAGAGGTCAACTACAAACTGATTTCTAATCAGCCGTCCTGAATCTTCCTAGAAAAGACTGAGATCTTGTTAAGCTATGAAGCTGGGTGAAGGCAGTTAATGGATTTATATGATGAGTCCTTTAATGACCAGTCTTAAATTATCTTTTACTGCTAGATAGCACCCAAGGGCAAGAGGTAATTGGCTTTATAAACTTTGGAGTGGTTTGCTTTACAAATCCTGGAGCTTAGGAAAGTAGAAAACTCTCTTTAAAGAGAATATTCTCTTCCACTAGGTATTCTATTTTTGGCAGTTTTATGAAAAATTTAGCAAAGGATTCTTCGTGACCTTCCACTTTGCAAATGTCAGCGACCAAAGCACATTCAACATGAAGGTCAATTCCTTACAAAAGTTAGGGTTGCCTAGTGGACAGGATTATCCCAAACCAGGCTGAATATACAATATTAATAAATCAATTCACAAATTGGCCCGTCTCGTGTTTTGAGCAAATTGACTCAGTGTCTTTTGTTTTGTTTTGTTTTCATTCAAAACATTGTATCTTAGTCACCTCTGTGCTAGAAAGCCACTTTGTCTGGCAGAGGTCACGTTGTAATCTGTGTGGTTTACACTGTGGATGGTAACACATCTGAGTAACCTCAGAATTGATTGAAATAAAAAAATTAAAAATTAGATCCATAGCCAAATACAGCAATATTCTAATTCAAAATTTAGAGTTAAAAATTAAAATATTGACAGTGATTTTAATTTGTTAAGGTATAAATGGCTCAAGATTAACAAGGAGCACCCTGTATCTGAACTAAGTCCAATTGAATTGTGTTTTTCTTGGATACTTTGCTTGCACGACACCTGCATTTCAGCACTGGATGAAAGATGGAATTCACAAGTGTTGCAGTGGGAGACTCCATTCCTTAGACCGTCTCCCGTAGCAATAGTACCAAGAAGAACATTCTTTAGTTTCACTATGGACAAAATCACTTAATTCTTCACGAATGATATGTCTGGCTCCTGGGAGGATGGAAATCACTTTAAAAGCATGGTTGGATTTTCTCCCAGGACATGAAGGCTCAGAGATCATGATGTTGTGTTTACTTCACATTTAAGCGCATGACTCCTGCTCTATGACTTCCATGGGGATGGCCTCGGGGACCTCCTCGCCCAGGTTGATGGCGGCTTCGTTGTTCCTGGGCTCCTGATGGCAGATGTACACGGGGAGGCCGCCGGCGTCCGCCTGGGCCGCGGCGGCAGCGGCCGCGGCCGCCAGCACAGCGTTGTAATCGGGGCGCCTGCGGTTGCGGTTGGGGCGCCCGTAGCGCTGGCTCCATTGGATTTTCAGGAGATTCCACTGGCGCTTCAGGGTGGCTTGGACCTGGAAGGGAAAGGGAGTCTCGTTGTCATATAATTGTCAGAAATTACCCGAGACGAGCTTAGGCGCACAGTGTGTCAGAGGCCCAAGGGGTTGGCTTGAATCTCAGTTCGGATCCACAGGCTGCTGGGTGCCTGCTCCGGCTGCGCAGGGGGGTCTCGAGCCGGAGCACCGGCTTGTCCCCTCAGCCACCGCGGGCGAGGCGACTGCTACTGTGCAAAGGCTTCTTCTTGAGCTCTCGGGTCCAAGGAAGGACATTTGACTGGGTTTCACATTCATATATGGCATACCCATCATATTAGGGGGGAAGAGCTGGGAAACGTTTATCTGCTGCCACCTCTGATAAGGCAGAAGCTTTTATCTACATCTCTGCATTATTGGCCATGAAAATGTATCTGTAAACCATTGCAGAGCTGTGGATTTTATGATGATTCTGTTGATTTTCCTTTAGCCCACATGGCTGGAAACGGGGTGTGCTAGATAAGCCTCCAGTTCACGGAGTGACACTCTCTTCGGAATAAAACGATCTCTTTCTATGGGAAGACTTCTGACACGTAAACAAACTTACCAAACTTGCTTTATAAATGTGATACACTGGCTATAACACTCAAGAAGGGGAGAAGTTCTAAATATGAAAACTCCAGTAACCGCCGCGGAAAACGCCACCAGGGGCCATCCATTGGCTCATCTGGCTCGATTTTTACAGAACCAGATTCAATTTAGTAGTTAAGTTCATCCTTCCTGTCTCCTAAACTTTTCGCTTTTCTCTATCGCTGAACAAAACTAAAACATAAGAGATTATGGCTGCACTATCTGTTCTATAAGACAAACTATCCGAAATATTTGCATCAGTTTATTAACACATCCTGTGTTTTGCGGCCAACTTTGAATATGACACTTAAACAGTGCGGGGCACACAGGGGGGGTCTGGAACTGGTGTGCCATCAGGCGAAGCATGTGAGGAGTTGACTGTGGAGTGCCAGTTCATCTCCACATGTGTACATCTGAAAGGAGACAGAAACAACAGCACAATCTATGACGTTACACAACGGGAGGCCCGATGAAGAAGGCTAAATGTTTCTGTGGCAAATACATCTTTTCTACAGATAGTAGAGTCACAATCTCTCCATGTAATTATTAGTGTTTGTCCTATAGTTTTAAATATTTTCCTCAGGAAAAGGGAAAACAGTGAAATGATTCATTTAAGGGCAAGTCAAGAGGGTGTGGCACTGGTCATGTGTCTGTGGCCGGACAGCTGGAATGTGGCAGAGCCACCGTCCCCGGTGAAGCCCGTGCTTCCGACCGACCGACCGTGCCTCCAGCCGCAGTGTCCACCGCACGGAGCGGTCCATTGCGTCTGCAATGAAGTGGAAACAGGACTTGTTCCTGGTGGTCATGGCACACGCAGGAGGACGGCAGCGAGTGTTTGAACACATGTCCCAAAGACTGCTCTTTGGGTCTGAGTCCCAGTTACTTTGCTCCATGTTTTTTGTTGTCTTTAACTGAGAGCATTCTCCTTTACAGAGAGGGGAGCACACCCCGCATTTACAGAGCTACTGGTTAGATTTACTGAGGTTATTTAAATCACTAAGAGTGGTGCTGGTGCATATCAGCAGTAATCCCCTTCTTTTTCTGCTGTCTTCTCTGCTCTCTGACCCCCAAAGATCTTCGGTCAATGTGGCTGAGTTTGGGACAGTCAAGTACCTCCCTGATCATCTAGCACTTCCGGGCTGCGCTCTGGCTTTCACGATTGCTGCCCAGGGTGCAGTCCGAGCACACCATGGCTCAGCTGCCTGCCCGAATAATATCTGCAATTGTACCCCAGGAGCATAAACAAGATTCTGCTGGCAGCGGTGGTAACACACACAACCCCACTAGTCACGTGACCCTGAGAATGCAGACGTGGGACCAGATGAAAGAGGCGCTCTGGAGACTGTGCAGTGCTGCTGTCTAGAAAGGAGGGGTGGTAGGTGAAAGGCATGCTTACGTTGCTGTTGTAGAAGCAGTAAATCACCGCAACGAAGAAGCCCTGGAAAGAGGAGGAGGGTAGAGTCGAGTTACTTTTGTGTGCATGACATGGTTTAGCCATCCATATAAATAGACCACCTGCAGAGGAACGTCTAGTCAAAGCCCATGACAGGCAGTGACTGCCACTCAACGTTAGGTGCTTCCCTGAAGGATATTCCCTTCGAATTCTGTTTTTCTTGTTAGAAGAATGCTATCGTTTGGTTAGAAGCACAGCTCTAGTCAATCTGGTTAATGATATTGCTGCCTTTAACATGGAGATTTACAGCAGAATATGCTGATTTGAGTGGATTTGAAAAGAACTTTTTGCCCTGAACATTTTTTTAAAACTGACATCTTGTAGAGTTCAGCAGAGAAAATGTTTGCAAGCACGCGCGTCACGGTGCCTGTGCCCTGTGCCCTCGTGGTGAACTAGTGCAGGCTGTACCCACAGCCAAGTGTGTCTCTCAAATAAGGACACGCACTCAGTGAACTCTGGGGTCCTGGCCACTACTCAGAAGCTCCCTTACCTTTAACTTTAATTGTCTGTAGACATGGCCAAAGCAATGATTAGATTATCAAAACAATCCCTAAACTTCCTCTTTAGCCCCATTCATTTTGACCCTCAGGAGGAGAAAATATAATTACCTTGAAATTATCATTGAAACAGCAACACGGTGGCCCAGGAGCCTGCAGCCGGCTCACCGCTGCCTGAGGACTTCCCAGGTCCCAACCTCCTTTAAAATACCCTGCGCTGTGCCTTCTGTGGGGCTTTGGATCTGGGGCAGAGTGAATGGAAACAGGGCATCCGTTCTGCACTCCTGTGTGGCAGATATGGGCAAGCCCCTGAGCACCCACTCTGTTCTCTCCCATGTGAGGAGAGATCTGGGTACACGTCCCTTTGTGGTCACTGAGCTGTGACGGGTGGATTCCTGACACCCTCTGACCGTGGAGGGGGACCGAGCAGAAGACAGGAACGGCTCTGTGCAGATTCATGGCACCCCCTGGCAAAACCGATTCAGTGTTTACTTCGGAAAGGAGATTCTGAAAATTGCCGAGCAGGGAGGAGATGCGGGTGGGACCAGCGGAGGGCCCTGGGATTAACAGGGAAGCCAAAGCAACAATGTGCTTCCCAAAAGCCATTTTCTTCACCACTTTCCCCGGGCTTGTTGACTTGGAGGCTGTAAATTATGAGATTTTAGAGCATAGGCCTTAGTGTTAGATTTCCTGACTTTGCCTCTAACCAGAAAATTCAACTTTCTTATCTGTAAAATAGGCATAATAATACTTCCCTCGAACATTAAGCACTTCATACATGGGAACTGTAATTGTTCAGCGTGGATTAGACAGTGTGAGGTTGTCTCTGGGGTGTGCCTAACACTGCAGGAATTCCGGGGTTCCGACCCCTCCCCCCACGGTCAGCGCAGTCAGACGCAGTCGTTGAAAACTGGACGCCAGCTGAAGAGGCGTAGCTTCCAGCTCGTGCCCAGGGGAAGCTTTTCATACCGATAGAAACACCTGCCTCTCTCGCTGTTTTCATGACTTGAGCGACTATATTGATCCTTGGCTGGGAAACGGGTTGGCATGGGTATGCTGTTCTTCAGAACTCACTTCGGTGAAACAGAAACGGGGATGGCCTCCAAAATCCCGGGGAGGGGACGGGAGGTCGAAAACTGTGCAGGCAGAAGTTCCGACCTCAGCTCTGTGTCACGGCTCGGTCCGCGGACAAATATCTGTCCTCAGAAAGGTGTTTCTCAAAGCCCAGCCTTCCCTGTTTCCATCTTCAAGATTAGAAAAACAGAAAAGCAGGCAGTGAGAATCCTTTCCAGGTGACATTTGGTCGACAGGGTCCTTCTAGTCACAGTGAGCCCCAGGAAATTGATCGTCCTGCGTCAACCAGCTGAGCAAGTCGGGGAATGAACACACCGGCGGCTTCCTCACCTGGAAATGAATCAGAAAATGCATCACGTAGTCATAGATTTGGCCGAGAATCTTGCCGGTGGGCCTCCAGGGAAAGACGACGAACTGGACGCCCAGCAGGGGCACCAGGAACAGAGTGGCCCTCACTGCCTTCAGGTACATGTGCGAGTCGGCCTGCTGGGTCTCCCTCATCTTCTTCACCAGCACACGGACGATGTTGAGCAGAAAGAAGAAGTTGATCTGCAAAGATATGACGTGATGGACAAGCAGAGCGTCCAGGTCAATGCCACAGAAGGACGCCCATTTCCCTCAATTCGTTCTCCAGTGTGAGGAGCAGATGCCCCTGCACAGGGCGTGAGACTGCCCGGTAGGATGCTGGGTCGCTGAGCATCCCTACAACCAACAGCCTTCCAGACCTGAATTAAAATGTCCTGGTTTTCCCTTAAATGAGTAAATCTTTTCCTGCACATGTAAATATATTAGGTTCGACTCTAATGAGGGTGTTTATTCTTTCTTTTTTTTTTTTTTTTTGTTAATCCTCACCTAAGGATATTTTTCCATTGATTTTTAGATAGAGTATAAGGGTGGGGGAGAGAAACATCAGAGAAATGTCGACGTGAGGGAGACATATCAATTGTCTGCCTCCGGCACAACCCCGACCAGGGCGGGGGAGCAAACCTCCAACCCAGGTACGTGCCCTTGACTTGGAATCGAACCCAAGACCATTCAGTCCATGGGTCAACACTCTAACTGCTAAGCCGAACCGGCCATGGTGAGGGTGTTTATTCTTTATTTTGATTTTTACTTTCACAAAGGGGTAACACTTTAGCTCTTACTCTCTTGTCTTTTCATTATGAAGATGTCCCACAGCCGGGACTACTTAATTGAGGGTGTAAGGAGGGCTGACATTCTCATTTGTCAAGTTCATGTGGTGGAGACAGCTGACCCAGCCTTCTAGTTTTAAAGGACACTTTGAAAAGAAAATAACTCCCTAGAGGTATAATGTATGTTCAATAAAAAGGATTCTTTACGTTTACATTCAAGACGTTTAGACAAATGTACGCCCTGTATAACATCCCCTGGAAACAAGAAGGAGAGTTTCCGTCACCTCAGAGAGTTCCCTCCTGCCTCTTTACAGCGTCCCCTCACCCCCAGGTGCTTTTTGTGTGCCTGCTTCTCTGGGTTCACACACAGCCTGCGAGATTCACCCATGTCGTGTACACTGGCATTTCATTTGTTTTTATTGTTGAGCAGTACTCCGTTATATGAATGACACATATTATTTGTTCATTTATTTTCCTGCTGATGGACGTAGAATGGTTTCCACTATTTCACTATTGTGAATAAACATGATGGATATTTTTGTACACGAGTCTTTGTGTAGACATGTGTTTTTGTTTCTCTTAAATAAGTACCCAGGAGTGGCATTGCCTGTTCCTATGGTAAGTGTATGTTCGACTTTCTAAGACACTGCCACACTGTGTTCCAAAGGGGGCTCGATTTGTGTTCCGGCACTCCAGGGGAACTCCGACTGCCCTGTGCCTGGCCAGCCCTTGGATGGTCACTTTTTCCACATTAGCCATTCTGGGGGGCACAACTCTTTTCAGCTGCGAGGATAGTTTTGAACCAAAGTGTTTGTTAGAATATAATTAATAATTTATTTTAAAATAATTGGAATGATTTCCACTACCTGAAATATAAATAAATGTCATTGCCTCAACATTTTAAGAAAAGAGACCTTTAGTAATAATTGCATTTTTATGGGGAATTGTGAATATTCAAGACCTATGTCTGTGGGTCCTCTTGAGGACAGTTGGACTAGTAGGTACATCATTACATGGAAAACGGGCAAAAGAGAGAGGATTTGCATTGGAAAGGCCGGGAAAGTTAGAAGACAGCCTGCATGATAATCCAGTTTGGCCAGTTACAAATGGATGCTTCTTCAGTGCAGGGGCAGAACACGGTCCATGACTCAGATGCTTTTTATTTTTCTCACTCTTATTTGAACAAAACATTGTGGTTAATGAGAAAAATAATGTCTAAATATTCAATTTGATGGTTTTGAGGCTGACTAACACATAGTAAACCAAGGGTATAAATAGAGAAGTTGAGTATAGATTAAGACAGTCATATTCTCTCCCAACCCAACTTCTTACTAGTCATGTGATTTGGGGTGAGTTCACTTGAGTCTTCCTAATGAGCAAAATGTCCTGATGATGCACCTGCTTTGAGGGCTGCTCTTAGAAACATCATGGCGATGTGTGGGAAGTGCATGAAATCTCCTAGGTGCCGATCGTTGATAGTTAGGGTGATGGCTTGTGTATCATAGGTAAAGTGGAAGATAGCTTTGTTTGGCAGAGCCCAGGGAAAAAGGTGCAGGGGGACTTTGTGGTCTCCCACTTTCTTATCCTCAACACCTTTATCATTCCTCAGCCCTTGATCCTAACCTTTAGGAGAATTTAATGATCACATTGTTAAAAACAAAAACAAAAAACTATACAGTTGTCATAGGGTGTATAGAAATGAACTTATGCACTGCCCCCAATTTTATTAAATAAGAATGATTTTTTCCCAATGGAAGACTTTCAAACCAAATTGTTCTTTTTCTTATATATTATCATGAAATGAGCTTCATTGGAAAGTTATAATATATATATGCTATATAGCACCATCTTCAAAGAAATCCCCAGAGGTAACATTGTTAATAACAGACTTAAAAAGCAGTTCTCACCACTAATGCTGCCATGACAGGGCCGTGGATGATGTAAAGCAAATGAGTCTCTGCACTCAGCCAGCAGCTGGAAAACAGGGGGGAGAATACATCAACACAGACACATTTTACTTACAAATGTTAACTGAAAACCACCACAGTACTTACTTGTCATTGAAGTACATCACCCTGGTAATAGCATGGATAGTAGTTGGCACCAATGGGAACCCTGAAAATGTGAGAAAGGACAAATTACACCCAATTTCTTGGTCATAAGCTATAACTACAGTTGCTTGGAAAATAGTAATTTACTTTAAAAAAAAAAAAGTGGAAAATTTAACATCTCTATGCAATCAACCTAAAGTTGTGATTTCCATAAGGAAAAAAAATCTTTTTTTCCCCTCAGATGTACCCATGTGCAATAGATTATTATTTAATTTGGTTGAGAAATGTGTAGAATGAGTTTTTAAATTATTATCAGATTAAGAAATGTGTCTCAGAAGTGAATTAGACCTACACGCTTTGATTTTTGTGAATTATATGCAAAAAGAGAATGCCTGAAAGTATTGAGTTTTCACCAGAGAACAACCTTGCCTTCTAAACCCATGAAGCATATAATTCAATACGAACATCGATTAAATGTTTGACCTGAAAGAATTCTGAGTTTGACTATTTCCACAAAACATAATTGTGTTGCATCCACAGCAGTTCTAACATACTATTCCCCCACTTGGGTTTAGAGAAATTCATTCTCTGGACTTATTCTGAAATATGTACTTTTAGTTAGACAACCACAGAGGCATATCGAGATCTCACTCCCATCTCATCCTTTTGTAGAAAAGAAAATGTGTTTCTTACATAATATGGAGAGGAGTATAAACCCCTAATCTTCTAATCCCTAAGGCTCTTGGCCTTCCTCTAGACAGGATACCTCTTTTTCTGCACTTTTATTTTTTAATCCTCACCCAAGGATATGTTTATTGATTTGAGAGAGAGAGAGAGAGGAAGGAAGAGAGAGAGAGAAAGAGAGAAAAATCTATGTGCGAGAGAAACATCAATTGGTTACTTCCTGTGTGTGTCTGACTGGGGATCGAACCTACAAACTACGTATGTTTCCTGATCAGGAATTGAACCCACAACCTTTTGGTGTATGGCATGATGCTCCAACCAATTGAGCCACCCAGCCAGGCCTCATTACATTCTTTTTGATACAGCTAAAGAGCTTATTCCTTTTTTCCTTTGAATTGTTTGTGCATGTTAAGCAGATGTCTTCATTGACCTGCATGCAATGATGCTGAAGTTCTGTGACTAATTTACAATGTAACAGTATGGAAAGAGCAGTATAAATTGTTCCTTCCCGGGTGCCCTCATCTCTGCAGAATGTCACACCCCAAATATCTGCCCCATCGACCCACCATTATAGGATTATCTCATTGGGTTTGGGTCATATGGTTGGTTAAAATCCAAGTATTTCTGTTAGGGAGGGGAGTTATAAAAACAAATATTGCCCAGGGCCAGCCCTGGGATACATTGGGGGAAAGACTTGAGCTGCTTATGACTTTCTAGACACATTTCTAAACAACTGTATGATATGCCTTTTGGGCAGGGTTTTAAATACAAAGGTTGATGTTTTTAGACATCTTTTGGATTGTCCTCCATTCTCAGTAATCCTTTCTCTCTTACCAGTATTTTTAGGAGCTTCCCAAAATGCTGCTTTAAAGGGCAGGCTTAGTTGAAGAAACTCCACAGCCTCTCTCCAGGAGTCAATGCAGAGCAAGGGCACCCTTTCTGTAGTAAGAGTCCTCCTCTGGTTTGGGAGTCTCGTGGGATTTTTATTTTTAAGTAAAGCAGCATGTGTCTTTGTCCCAGAGCCTTTCCCCTCTCTCTACGTCACTATCTGCTCCCTTTCCACCAGAGGAGCTAGACCGTTAGCAGCCCTGGGAGAAGGGGAACAATTCTAAAGTCCTCACAGACCTTCGCACATTAAGCAATCCAGCCACAGGCTTTTCATAACCATTGCCATGTGCTATGAAGTCAGATGTGCTCTATTTGGAGGCCCATGTGGTTAAATCTATTGCTCATCTAGACTCCACTTCTTGTCTTTTCATTGTAGGAATCCTGTTGATGGATTGACAAGAAAGAATGTCCTTGAGGAAGGGATGTGGGGCCAGGGTGGAGGACAAACAGGATTCAAAATGTGGAATTCTCCTTTGCTCTTCAAACAGGTGATAAATAAAACCGAAGGGGGCCTGATCAGATCTTCTCTCAATCAGGAATGCTGGGTCACCTGAAGACAATCATAATCATCCCCCTCCATCTCTGCACTGACCCCTGTGTTCATCACAGTCTGTATAAACTTGCAGAAGGGCTTCTACCAAGCTCTCTGGGAGACTGAACTTCTTCCAACATCTGCTGTCTCCTCATTCCTTAAAGGACCCAGGTCCCTGATTGTTCTCTGAGGCCAAGACTAGAAGAAGATTATAAATATACAGACAGAGGAGAAGGTGACTCAAAACTCAGTTGGAGGAAATACATACCCCAGCCCAAGAGATAATACCACTTCATGTGCTGTTTCTCAGTGAACACGGCCACCACAATGAGTGTGTGAAGATAGATCCCTTCACAGAGCATCCAGAAATAATTGCACGCCATCATGTACTGGTTGATAAAATTCAAAATCTTGCAGCTCAGCTGTCAAAAAGAAATGGAGATACTCAGTGGAAGACACGGACAAGGATCTGACAGTGAAAAGGGGGTAAATGTGAAAATGAGCCAAAGTATCTGCATTCTGTCTGCGTTCTGCTTCTCCACGCACCTGGTAACACGCACCACCCTCTGTATCCGCAAATCAGAGTCATTGTGCATAGGTCCTTAGTACTGCATATAAACAGCCATCTAGGGGAATGGAAGCCTAGTCCCTAAAATGCTCTTTTCCTGTTACATGCTGGTGACTTGTATAGACTAATTTATTTTTCTGCAATGAGTCAGATAACCATAATTTTTTAAGAGCAGCCATAGATTTGTCACATGACTTTTCTAGCCCCTTTTCTATGGCCAATGAGGCGAATAACCCAGAAATTGTCAATGCTGCTCCTGAAGTTCATTGATATGTTGGTAATATCTCTTTAGCCACAAAGAGGAGATAACCATGTGATAAATTTGTCATATATGATCCAGGAGCTACGCTGAACCCAACTGATGACTCCTATTTGGGTTACTTGCTGGCCTTCTAGTGCTGATAATATAACCATCAAAGAGCTACACTTCTGTTCTGGGGGGATCACAGTGCGATGGCAAACGTCCTGACTTGGGTTCACACGTGTCCCTAAACTTCACGAGGAGGAAGTAAGGAACTCTGTCAAGAAATTAGTATAGCTGATACACTAAGGGGCAAAAAGGCTCTCCTATCAACTTGAAAACTGTCAGCTTGTTCATTCTTTAAAGCTGGCTGAATGAAGAGGAAACTCCGCCAGGCAGAAAGTCAGCGTTACCTAACTGTGTAGGGACATACTGAAGTTTCTCCAGAGGACTCCAAAGGCATAACATGTTCAGTTAAATGTGAGTCTGCCGTGCAATCCTGAGCTGATTTCTGATAAAGCCTGAGAGAAAATGAACTTGAATCTGTGGAACTGCAGGCATGATTCGGCGTGTACATTGGAAGATGACCCAGAAATGGGCAAAGGAAGCATTCTGTAAGTGGTCAGCAAACAAAACTCCAGTAAACAGGAAAGCAGGACACTGCACGATGGAAGGTCAAGCCTGGTAGCAGTGAGGCAGGGAATAACCATTAACAGCTCGTTATGCTCAAGGGTCTTTGTCTATATGGTGTAATGAGCATATCATATCACGCTTCTCTGGCGGTTTGCAAGCCATGACTGATTTAGTTTTATAGTCTCAGCCCTTTGGATTATTTGTGGTTTGCAAACCTCTGAGTGTTCTCTGCATTCTGCTTTTACACTTAGTCCCTCTTGGGTCGAGGCAGTTATTTTACTAATGCTCTGAGTTTCCACATCTCCTGTGCTGTGTGACACAGACATGAAACTGAATGCCACAGAAAATGGCAAGGGCTTCAGGCTTCATGACAATGGTAACAACTATAATATAAATAACAATAGTTAACAGTTGAGAGTCGTTATGTGCCAGACCCTGTTTTGTGGATTTCAGGTGTATCGGTTTATTTAATCCTCACCAACAACTCTATGAGGTAGGTGCTATTATCTCCACTTTACACACTGGGAAAGTGAGGCACAAGGAGGTGAAGGAACTTGCTCAAAATTACAGAATAATCTACAAGGAAGTAGAAGAGCTGGGATCTGAGATCCTGTAGTCCAGCAAGAACAAGGCTACAGTATTGGGAGCAAGTCAGCGAAGCACAGCAAGGATCAGCGTGACCACTGCTCTGCAGCTGGTTCTAGCAAGGAACCAATGTGCCCCAAAGGAGTGTACAAAACTCCTTGACTCTCAGCTGGAAGCTTTTTGAGAATGAAAACAAATCTATAAGAAGTTCTGCACTAAATTCGGGAATGCCTTTGCAAAGCGGGGAAAGCTAGCATCAAATGTTGAGATGAAGACTCACTATGGAAACTGCATCACTAAACACTACTGCTTTCCTGTGTAGAGATACCACCCAGATGGACTGGATACGAGAAAATAGAAATTGGGTTGATGCCTGTAGACATTTTAGAAATAAATTCTTAAAATTTATATGCAAAAGTGGTCAATTTTAAGTAATAAAATTTAAAAACAGTGAAGAAGTCCTCTATGTTTTTCTGCACCAATAGGATCTTGGTTGAAATATCATTTATTGGTTTTGACATGTAAGTAACGTGAAGTAGCATCAATGACCAGAGTGGGATACACCATCCCATGACCACATTTTGGCATTATTTTCTCTGCATGGTTGCTCAAATCCATTTTTTTTTTTTCCATGTGCAATCTAATTGCTTCCATAGGTTAACAAATGGATAATTCCAATCTAGCTTTATCTGCCACTGATCTCTCACCTCAATAACTCTGCTGTCCCTGTCCCCTCCCTTACATTCCTATACTACCCTTTGGGTTGGGCAGGAGGAGTCCACTCTGCACCCTGGGTTTCATGGGTCTCCCGTGCCTCAGCCCTGAGCACCCTTCTGAGCTGATTGTCCTGTGCCAAGGATGAAGTTCTGACATAGTTTGGTGGCTCAAGTGTCCTGAACAAAAGAGAATTCGAAGAAATTCACTTTGTTTTTCAGAAGTTGACACTCATTTGACTTCCCTTATACAGGAGGTTATAGAAAATGTGATTTAATTGTTTTGGCTTTTGAGGTGCAGAGTCCTCAGGTTCCCAGTGAAAACCAACCATCTCCCCGGATTGTCCCTTTCAGACCCAGATAGAACGTTCAGAGAGACGTTTCTTTCCGGAAAATGACAAGTATGCCACCAGCTTCCTTTAGATGCAGCAAGAATAATGCTTTTAATTCTGCCTCCTGACTCTCCACGTGAAGAAATAAGCAGAGGGATCAAGAAAATGAAATTTTAGATATGATGGAAATGAAGTGCTCCAATGACACAAATGACAATGGGCAATTTTCCCATCACTCAATAAACTGAGCATCTATTCAGCCTTATTTATGCCACGAGTTATTTGGCGTTTAACTTAAAAAAAAAAAAATATTGCGAAGGAATAAGATTATCACGCTTCGTTTTACAGGAGAGAATCTGTTTAACAAAAAACTTCCAAGGGAAGAAACTACTTTGATGGGACAGGGACCACGAACCCACAGAGATTCCTCACTGAGGAGTGAGAACACTGTTTTATTTTGCCCCCAATAAAATAAACTCTAATAGAAGTAGTGTGACAACATTCAGAGTGATGAAGTCACCTTTTACAAGAAATAACTTTATATATATATATATATATATATATATATATATATATATATTCCCATGGGTACTGGGAAGGAACATCTTTTTGCCTCTTAGCTGCTGATTCAGTGACATGAGAATTGGGTCAAAATGAAAAAATAACCAATAACTCTGTCTTTTATTTGCTTCGGAGAGAAAGTGTCTTTAAAAATTACATATTCTGTGATATTTGTTTTTTTTAAACAGACATATGCCTGAATCACAGATAGATGAACTTCTGATAGATTGTGCTTTTTAAAAATTATGACTGTGGTTGTTTTCCAGATTAGTTGCAATTTCGATGAATATTTATAGACTGGTGATCTCCAATAACTTCCTTTTCTAAACAATGTTTGTGTTTTCTTTGTGTCTCTTCTTGGGTTTTTTTTTTTTTTGCTCTCGCCCCTCTTCTTGGCTATGGAGAACCTTAATCTAATGTTTTCTGAAATGTTCATTTTTCAAGCAAAATGCAATATTTCAATCGATTCATTTAAAGTACAAATTTTAAAGATGTAATTTTGCATGTGACTTAGTGATATATTGATGACATAATTCTCATTGTCTGGATGCTATTTTGTCTGTCTTTTTAGAGGTAGAGAACTTTAGTCCTGGGAAAGGTAGACTTTTCCTATTTCTTGTTTACCCCCTGTATATTCAAATATATTACAACAGGAAAAAATTCATCTTTCTCGATGGCTGAATGTATAGTTTCAACTGCCATTCACTAACAATCTTTTGAATGGGAAAAGATGCTCAACAAATTGGTTTTTTCTGAACACAGTTATGGCAGAGTATTCATTTTAAAGGAGGATTAAACATAAATTTTGAGGCCTGTGTCCCTCTTGGAAATAATAAATAAGGAGCTTCAAGAATGTATAACATATAAGGCATATGTACTTGCGGGTTCTTTCCTGCTCTTTCTTGAACTAATTTTGTTTGCCCAGAGACAGGAGTCGTGTGTGCTTTGTACATGGAGGGTTAGATGAGCGACTGAACAAAATCTCACTGGAAAACCAAAACTGTATTCAAAGAGAGAAAGTATTACAAAAAAGAACCTATTTTTTTCCTTTGGGTTAAGTGTATGTTTCACAATTTATAAACATGATTTAATTTTTTTCACTGCAGTTGTTTGTGTCTAGCCTATACTATACACGTGTATTTGATGAGAGGCCGTGTTTCCCAGCCCTGCCTTACGGATCAAACAGACATTTGGAATGTGAACGAGGGCACAGTGTGTTCACACACCAACATTCCCCATTTGCCATCGCAAGTGGCTTGTTATCGGTGATTATTCTCATTCTATCTATCCTCAGAGGAGAGGACACTTCTCTGTCAGGCATACAGACTTTTTGCTCCTTCATTTACCTTACACACACACACACACACACACACACACACACACACTTTGAAAGAAGTAAACAAATGACTGAACCCCACACGCATGGTTACATGGCACATTCCTAGGTATTGAAGGGAATTGTCATCGACATTTTCACAAAATGATACAAATTTAGTACAGCCTAGAGAGTAAAATTTAAGTGTTGGGCACTCAAAAAAACACTTGATTGGTTGGATTAAATTCTACCTTTCAAGTGCTTTACAGATTTTTTCTAGGAAGTTTGCTTTTGCATAACTAAAAATGACAAGTCTTTTGATTTAGCAATATATTGACATGAGAGAATCAAGTGCTAGTCATGTTCTACAGATAAGGGATTTATAAAAATCCCTTGCAATTTAATGCCCTTGGGAATTTTTAAAAGCTTATGCTTCTTTTGGAACTCCAAGACAATCTCTTGGCAATAAGTGGGAGAGAATTTATTATTTCCATTTGATGGATAAGGCTAAATGACCTCTGCAATTTAATAGCGAACTCAGAAAAATCCCGAATTTAGACTATTTCAGGAAGATAACAGGTTTGGTACAATTCCACAATGCACGAGAAGCCCCCTTCACGCTAAGAACCGGAGAGTGAGCTGGTGGTATGGCAGGGGGGTGTGAGACCCACAGGAGAGACGAGAGTCTATTCGGGAGTCTACAATACTTCATAATTTGAATGAGTGCTGCTCCCAGGGTTAATTCTTTAATGAGAGAACTGCCATTTCCCTGCCTACTTTGTACAGACGATAACTTTCTCAATGTTTCCACACTTAATGAGAAATGGAACGCTGGAAATTGGAGTCTTCACTGTTGAGAGATGCTTAGTTAATTGCTTCTACATCTGTTTTAAACTTAGTGGCGGTCAACTTCCCTAGTTAAATGTAGTGTCCATGTCTAGTTATGGAAAATCTTCACTTGGGAATGGCCGAGCCCTTTCTTTAAGAAGCTATGTCCCTAAGGAAGTAAACAAGACAGTCAAAAGCACCGTACAGTGGAGAGGAGAGCGGATGGGCTTCTGTGTGATAGGTCTGGGTGCGAATCCCAACGCTAACTATATGATACAGAGGACATGAGCCTCTACTGTGCCTGCTAACTCAGCTAGTTATTATCCATCCTTCACTGGGGTCTTATGAGAAATAAATAAAATAAAACTACTTTTATTAAAATTAATTGACGTTAAAAAAGAAAACTCATCAAGGTAAACCCACGGGCTCTCATTCTGCAGGTAGGACAGGACTTTGTCTCAGATGACAGTTGGCATGGTTTTAGAAGATGGATCTTAATTCCTTTTGGGCACAGCCCCACTGTGGTTCCATCAGAAGTAATCGAGCTGCTTTCCCATGCCATGCCACTCACACAGGATGCACGCTCTGGGCGGATTTCACGCATTTTTGTCATTGGGTTGGCAGAGTTGTCAAACGCAAGTTTTGAAAGATGAGGCTATCTGCAGACGCTTGCATAACACAGTTAGGCAGAGAAACGGAAATGAAGTTACCCCTCGGCCATTCATTCTGTGCTAGACAGCTTCTGCGTGTGCTTTCCAATGTTCTCCCCACCCCGCCCCACTGCCCTGGTCTGGAGAAAGGGCTTGCCCTCTGGCTTCTTCTTGAGTTCAGTTCACGGGGCTCATCAGCAGAGATTGGGAGAAGAGTGAACGAGGGGGAATTAAGCCTTTTTCAAGTCATGCAGATAGAGAACAGGATAATATGTAGATGGCTTACTCGAGTCAATGCAGAGCTATTCGTAGCTGAGTGACCGGTCCAAGCCCAGGCCAATGCCAGAATGCCGAGGGTATTAATATTTAGGCACACTTGTAACCCATTAGTGACGCACTGGGCCAGTGGGAATACCTAGTGTTGTTCATGTTAACAAGGTGTGCTCAGTCCACTTCCCATAGGTGTCAATACATTTCTGATTTGTAGTAAAAACTCACAATCTGTTGTATAATTCTTATTTGGTTATGACTGAATTTTCCCAGCCCTTTACTATAGCATATAACCATTACTCCCAGTAACTACATAGAAATGATATGCCTTGCTTAATGCAAAACTCAACTGTGAAATTAAATATGATTACACATATAAAGAGGTGCTTAGGCCAAACAATAAGACCATGTTCACTATTTACAAATACTGCATCTTTAAAAATAAGATTAAAGTCAAAGAAGGCAGTGCTCACCGGGTCCGTGCTCACGAGCTCTCCGTTCGGGACCACTTGGATTAGGTGGATGAGGATAGTAATAGAATTCAGAATGTAAGTCAGAAACATGTGCTTATGCATAGTTACCCTTTGGCAGCCAAGATTCCTGGAAGACAAAGCAACAGCATTAACCAGTGCCAAAATGTTCAAGGTCCTGGGGAAATTGTTTTGGTAATATTTTTAATATTCCCTGTAGCAAGAGTTGAGAGAACTTACTGAAAGAAGTAAAGCTTGGTCCCATGTACGAGACTCATACTTCTAGGTCTGATTTTTCAGAAAGTTTTCCAGTCATGGTAGCTCATAGTTTTCAGTCCTCAGGTGACTTTGTACAAGTGAAAGAGTGTGTGATAAAATCACTTTCAATGATAACAAATGTCATGAAATTAATGGAGAGTAGAACTCTTACAAGAGAAACCATTGCAGTTTGGAGTGTGCTTCAGATGAAAAGCCGACTATGTATTGATGTAACCAGGCAGAAGTTGTGCGGCCAATAGGAGACCAGAGCATGAAGTCAGGACAAGGTGGCCTGTGACAAAGTACCGGGTCCATGTCCTTGACCCATTACATACACAGCCTTTATCAAGTGTCCTGGTATCCTCCTCTTTTGACAGTCCTTCCAACACCTTTTTATTTCTCGTATTCCAACTAGAATCAGCTTTGTGATTCCTACTTTCCACTTCCTCCTGATGGTGGAGCTCAGACACAGGCAAAGACTTGTCACGAGGCTCCGATCGGATCTCATTAGGGCATCTGTTGTTTGGATCTGCCCATACCTATCCTCCTTGGCGTGGCCGTTTGCCACCTTCTGGGCGCTAAGCAATGTGTTAGATCTTTTAAATTCCTTTGTCCCCCACTTCGTTCAGGTGTAATATGTGTTTGTGTGAGTGTTCACATGAATAAACATTACATTAAACATCCTATTTCACTTTCCAATGCAAATGAAGGGAGCCTGTAGAATGGCTATAACAAAATTGGAACCATTATCTTAGATAAATATAAATCTTGCATTTACCATATTTGACCCTGTTAAAAAATGCTTAGCATCATGTGAAAACTTAAGGCATTCAAATTAATGATGCTAAAGATTAATAATAGTAACTATCCCTAAAACATCTTCATGGAATAAAGTTAGAATGCCAGGAATTTTGGAAAGAAAATTCCGAGGAAAAATGAAATGTGAGGATGGTCTAGGTTTACTTACAATGATTTTCCTATATTTTCAAATCAAAGGAAAATGAGTTGTCAATTATCTGTAGTAAAAAGTAAATTTAAGTAGTGAGGGCATGTGTGAGAACACATTTTGATTATTGTAGCTACATTTTTCAATTTCAGGAAGCACAAGCATTGGTAAACAGCTAATACAGAATATTTTACAATTCGCCACTTGATGATCGGGGTAGAATGCAGAGTGGGTTTAGAGAAATTTCCCTCTCTGTCTCTCTTTCTCTTTCACACACCCACGCATGTGCTACTTTATTTAGCAGCAGAAAAGTCTGTTAAATAAACTGAACCTAATTGATTTCATAAGAATGCTATAAAAGTAGGTTGCACATTTAAGGATTTAAAGAGAAAAAAATTCAGCCATGTGAAACATCATACTGCATGGCTAAGATTATGACCTGCCATTTTCCATACAGTCATAATAGCATTTTCTCATTCTTCTCACTGGGAGGCAAATATCTGTGGTCTCATTACTGGGTTCAGCCTGGCTTACAGCAGTGACAGTTGACATTATCCAGAATGAAGAAGTGTGAATGGATGCGTCATGCAGCGCTGCTCAGCTGCCTGCTTCTCTCTGGACCCGGCAGCTCAATACCGCACAAGGACAACCCTGACGGGGCGGGCTGGTTCGTGTTCGCTTCCCGTGTAAACGGGGAGCACCCCGAACAGAACATGCTTCCTCCACCTCCAGCTTACTTTCAGGCCCTCGTGTATGCGGCTTTATTTTTCTTCTCCGCTCCTGACATACCATTTGTTTACTGCCTGTTATTTTCTCCTTTTCTCTCACTAGAATTAAAGTGCTGAAGCAGTTTTCTTTGTGCACATAGAAGAGTGTCTGATACACTGTAGGGCTTAATGTTCTTTTTTTTTTTTGAATTAAAAATATGTGAGAACAATTTTCTTCTTTGAACTCTGGCCACTAAACAGTTTTCCAGTACATCAGAGAATTATATTAAAGGGTAGATTGCCCCCTATCTTACACTTTGTATCATACTGAACATTTGCCAATTTCTTAATGCAGGTATTAACTAACTAACAGTGGACATTATTCTATTACTAAAACCTACACATAGTACTGTATTATGTACACAGTGAGAAACTGATCACAAAGCTGGACAAGGAACACTATGACTAACACATAACATGAGTCGCTGTTTTTTGAAGTATTCTATATAGTTTCTGTTCGTTGTTAAGAATTTTATTACACTTGATGACATTTATACTGAACTTTCTGAAATGTGATAGGTATTTTAAATTTATTAAAATTTGTTCAAAATCTAACACGTGCCTGTATACCTACTATAATTCAGAACTTCTGGTAGATTCTGGGTACATGTAGGTGAACAAAACAGACAGCTTCTGCATTCAGGGAACTTATAGATTATGGAATTGTTCATTTACCCTTGATGTGATCATCATTCTGAAGGGAAGGAATGGGATGCTAAAGAGGATTAACTGAATCGAACATGAGTAATTCTGTGTTTAATTGTTCTCAATGTAAATTCTTGCTGCTTGAATGAATATGAGACAAGGTGACATTTCCTGTCAGATGCGAAGAGACTTAAGTAGCAACAGCACAAACCTGGTGTGAGCTGTGATTTATTATCTTGATTAAAAATGTAGGTATTTAGGTGGACAGAACAGTACTCCCTCTTTGAGTGAGAGGGAACCATAAGTACTATAGATCCTCCAACAGTGGGAGGATAAAACTTCTGTCTTGGCTAGTTGAGGTGTCACTCAGATGTGAAGAAGAGATAATGATCTACTTGAGTATGAATCTCAAGATGTTGTATATATTTTTTAATTCTCATGTTTTTATTGGTTTTGAAAGAGAAAGAGAGAAACATCAATGTGAGAGAGAAATATCGATTGGTTTCCTCCCGTATACACCCCGGTTGGGGATCTAACCCGCAACCTAGGTATGTGCCTGACCAGGAATCAGGAATTAAACCTGTCACCATTTTAGTGTACAGGACAATGATCCAACCAACTGAGCCAGGGCTCCTATTTTGAGGCTAAAGTGAAGTGTCAATTTCATGGTTTAAGTTAACCTGGTGGGTGCAAATCTTTTATGCCAAAATTTTGTTTTAAGTTATTAGTACACGATAGGTGTATGCTTTTTAAGAGTTTTTAGTTGCATAGAAAGCATTTAATTTTTGCCTTAAGTTTTTCCGATTGCATAAATCAATTTGATATCATAGGACAAGAACGAGTATTCACTTCTTTATAAAACTGCAATTATAGTCACATTCAAAGCACACAAGTATTAATAAGGAAACAAGTAAAAGTTGTTACAGATTTACTGGTGCGTGGGGAAATATGCATTTGGAATAATTGTTGCGATCGGTACAAGCAGTTATGTCTTCCAGTGGAACTCCAGGTTTCCCTTTACCTAAGTATCATACCTTGTTCACAATGCACAAGAGAAGTGAGGGGAAGAGAGGGAACATGGAGTGGATAGCATTAAAACTCCTAGAAAAACTAAAAATATATATATATTATACCTCTTTTCCATCTGACGAGGGACTTGAGAACTTTGGATTTAGCACAAATTTTTTATCCTTAAGGAATTCCCTTTCAATCATAATTTTTGCCTCTTTTCTTATTACTACTGTTCTATTAGTGAACAGTGAGCCAAGATGGGACTGAGTTATCTCTGGTGTCTTGTTATGTCAAGGGGGTGGGAGGGTTGGGAGAAAGGAAGGTATCTTTGGTGCCATTGATTTAGTGGTTTCTCTGGAGGAATAAGCAGGTAGTCAGAAATATATAATAGTGGATACTATACAAGAGAATGAGTTATCTGTCGATCCACTGCAGCTGTAACAAAGAATAGGGAGGACCGAGTGAGTAGCAGAGGAATCTCTATTCCTTCTGGAGGTCCCAGGGGAGACCCTCTTTCTTGCTGATGTGGCCAATATAATGTAATATAGACAATGTAATGCAATGAAGATACTCCCTGTCTTCTAACATCGATCTTTATTGACATTAAGGCAAGAGTAATTCATATTTGAAATATTTAACAGTCAGTAAAGCATGAATATCAAGCAGTCAAAATAGATGTTAATGAGCTACTATTGTGATTTCTTGAGAAACATCAGTATTTAGGAGTATTATACAGAAATGTAAAATGATAAATTGTAAATGGAAGTGATGAAATAAGTGTATTTATTGCAAACTTGCTTAAAATGGTCAGGAAACAAGCACAAATAAGTTTCCACGTATGTGACTTTCCAGCCAATGTTCCCCAAGGAGACTCATCTTAACTGTCTTGTGGACATTTACTTTTGACACCAGTAGTGAGGAGTCTTGCTGAGCTAATCTGAGGTTATCTATTTAACCCCAAAAGTCCTAAACCAGTGGACCAGAAGTAACCCATATATCATTGTGAACATTATTTTAATTCTGCCACTTTTGTAGTTAAGATTATTAGTATTGCATTTCCTATAATTTAAACCACTGAAAGCTCTGGCCGGTGTGACTGTGGTTAGAGCATCAGCCTGCGCACTGATGTGTCCTGGTTCAATTCCTCGTCAAGGGCGCGCACCTGGGTTGTAGGCTCCATCCCTGGCCCCAGTCTGGGCATGTGAAGGAGGCAGCCAATTGATGTGTCTCTCTCACATCAATGTTTCTCTCTCTCTCTGTCTCCCTCCCTTTACTCTCTCTAAATATCAATGGAAAAAATATCATCGGGGGGAGGATTAACACAAATTAAAATAAATAACTGAGAAAATTTTTCTCTATCTTGAAGGGGACATAGAAGCTCAATTTTCTTTAAAATAGCAAAGACTTTATATATATTTCTACATTTATTTTCTGATAGCACAGAGAGCTTGATTCTTATTTGTTTCAGGGTTCACAGCCCCGCCTGCTGCCTTCCCTGGCATGCTCAGAATAAAATCACATTAAGATTAGAATGTCTTGAACTCATTCTGAGTAATATCCCAGGATTTTTAGTGGCAACATAGTGACAAAATACAGCCTCCTGTATATTTAGTAACTTTAAATTCCTCTGCAGGCCTTCTTAGCCTGCTGGCTTGAGGGCTCCTGCAGGGTCATTCCTTGTTTACTTTGCTGTATTCTAATCATTGTGATTGAAAATACTCTTATTATAATTCTAATAATTAATCCCTCATGTATTGTTGCTTTATGTCTTTCTCCTGTTAAACTATACATAGAAGGAGCTCATTCTCTGTTATTATTTGCTATTCAGTTAACAAAAACGTGCTATTCAGTATTGTTGCTGGGTCAATATAAGAATCTTGACTACATAAGATACACATATAATATAATATATAATTATGATATAAGATATAGGCAAAAATTTCAAAAGAATAAAAAATAATAATAGTCATGTTAAGGGTAGGTTTGCAGGTGCTTCTCCCCTTGGTTTAATTTTCTTTAGTTATTATCATAATATTTTAACAAAAATCAAATTAAGATTCTATTATTCTACTTATGAATCACTGAATATTTAATTACATGTAACGTCTCTAAAGTATGGAGGATTATTTGTAGTTTGGGCTATGAAGGAGCTTTTCTTCATCATTTGTATGATTCCACCATGACTAAATTAATGGAAGATCCACATGGTCACGTAGAAGTCAGAATTCTCTTGAAAGGATAATGCAGTGCCTTCTGCCTTTGATTTAAAGAAATTACACTAAATTTAGGGCATGTTTTTAGGACCAAATTTAACATATATTACTTTCTCATATACATTATAAAGCCTTTCCTGAAAACACAGAAGCAGAACCAATGTTTTAAATTCTCCATTATTGTGAAATCAGTATCGATATCAACTTAATCATGTTGCCATGGATAATGCAATCAAGTGTATAGACACAGCGTCAGAATCGAAACTCTCATTGAAATTTTATTCCTCACACTGTCTTAAAAGATATTTGTAGTGAAAAATATTAGGTTTGAAAGGGCATAAAATTGACACCTGACAACAGCCATCTTCTCGCAGAGATTCTCTTAGACCCTGGCCAGGCGCGTCAATCAAGAAGTGAGACTCGCCTTCCTTCTCTGGGTAAACACTATCGTGGCCTCACCAGGCCACTTCTCTTCTGGTCAAATCCACCTGTGATACAACTCATATTAGGCAGGTGTGTCTGAACCTGCGGTCATGGCCCCATGTTGTAAGAGTGGGAGTCAAAGGAGGAGGACCCTCTCTTACACTGCACGGAACCTGAGCCATGGTAAGTGGGACCTTTACCACGTTAACCCAGCGTGCTGACAGGCTCACAGGACTCATACTGCCTTTAAAGATTACATGAATCTATCTTATTTCCCTCAAAGACAGAGTTAAAAGGATATTTTCATTAGTATAATTTTTTCTACTTCTTGACTTCCATATATCTCTTCTGATTTGCAGAAGACTTTGACAGTTTTCCATTGAGTTCAGTATCAGAAAGTAGATGCTGTGAGAGTACTTACTTGAAATACAGGAAAATCCCCAGCGAGACTGACAAGGTGAGAATAGAAACCGAGTGTCCCACAATAGCCACGTAGTACAGGAAGTACGCGTTCTGAAATGACAGACGCAACCACAAACACAGTTACAAAAACAAATGGGTGAATCAATCGTTATAGAAGAGGGAGACAGCTTCTATTTTTAAATATCAGTGTAAATCAACAACTGTTTCCCTCCTTTAAAAAATTCAGAGAATTACATTATATTAAATTATAATAGACTGAATGAACACATGGAATATTATAAGATTAAAAATATGCATGATGTTGTGGGAAGAACACAGGGTTGGATTTATCAGAGCTCTTCTTTACTCAGAGTATTATTAAGTATTTCTGTGATATTCATAGTCAGTCACTTCCCTCTCTAGACCTCAGCAGTCTTCACCTATAAAATAATTTGGTTGGACTGGATGCTTTTTAAAGCATGTATATACTGCTTATAAGAAACATCATTAAATGCTGGGATTCAGAAATACTGACTGTAAAAGGATGGGCAAAGATGACCCTGGTTAACACTAACCATAAGAAAATGGTGTAATATCATAAAGTGCAGATGTTAAGTCAGAAAAATATAACAATTTAAAATTTCTATGCCCCTAGTAATATAAACTCAAACCATATAAAGTATAAAGCTTAGATTGGCATGCCTAGTTAATCAATAGAACACACAGACAAAAATCAAGCTATAGGAGATTTGAACCACATGATTAACACATTTTACAATTCACATACACACACTGCATCTGCATCTGCAGAATATCCATTCTTTCCAAGTGTTGACTCAATATTCCAAGATTGTTTATCCAAAATGACATATACTAGTCAGTAAGGCAAATCTCAACATATTTCAAATAATTGAAATCTTAAAGACCATCTTTACTGACCACAGCAGCTTAGAAATAATTAATAAAAAAAAATAAAAAACACTCATATTGTTTAGAATTAAGTAACACATTTCTAAATAACCACTGGATCAAAGAAGAACTCACAATGACATACCAAAACTTTTTAGGTACAGATGAAGCTGTACACAGAGGGAAGTTTAAAGACTAAAAGACATATGCAAAAATGAAAAAGGTTGAAAACCAATGATCTAAATGTCCAGCTACAGGAGTTATACAAGAATTAAACTCAAAGAGTGTAAAAGAAATTATATGATAAAGAGAACTTGAATATGCAATTGAGTGGAACAACAGAAACAAAAATTGGTTCTTAAATAAATTAATTTTAATATCCCCTGGAAAGAGTGATCAGAGAAAAACCCCAAGAGAAATAAAAATATACGTCAACACAAAGGTCTGGAGCAGCATCACTCATAAGCCAAACAGTGGAAACAACTCCGCTGTCCATCAACCGGTGAATGTGGTTTATCCACAGAATGGAATCCAGATACATATTAAACATCAATATGGAAAAAAAAAAAAAGATAATTGATGCTTAAGTCTCCACATTTCAATGAATTAAAATGCATGTTCTAAACTGAAGAGAATTAAGCATACAGGTCATTATCTGATTTCTTTCTATAATATAAGTTAGCTTCTTGGAAGTAGGTACTTTGCAGTTATATATATATCTTTTGTATAGATAATGGCACTCGCACCAAAAACTGAAATTTGAAATAGAGCCTACCTTCATTTTATCAGGAGAGAAAGCATAACACATACTATAGTTAGTCCAGGTTTCATTCTTCTCAGGATGTTTAAACCAAACCCCGTTTTCATCACAGTATTTTGAAACCATTTCTGTTAATGAAACATAACAGTTATTACCTTACCATTAAAAAAACAAACAAACAAACAAACAAAAAACAAGAAGAAAAAATAATAAACTAAGGCTTAAAATCATTCCAAAATGTTAATCACTTTATAGAACTTGAGTGTATCAATACATAGAGACAACCATGAATCTACTTGATTATAGAGGTGTTTTAATCATATGGAACGTTGTGATATGCATTGTCTCATTTTAGCTTCAGCAGAGCCCTGTAACACAGACATTACTACCTCCATTCTACAAAGAGTATGGATACAGTGAGAGAGGTCATGGAATTTAAAGTTAATACATAGGGGTGAGCAAGGACTGAATATCAGGTCTTTCAGACTCTAACATGCTACCTACACTGTATCTCCTGTTTTTTTTACAGACATTAAATTTATGATTTTAGATAGAACTATGTGAGAAGAGCAAGACATACTTTTCTTCATTTACACCCAATATTCATATGTTAAGTTGACTTATGAAATTGCAGCTTTTGTCAAATGATCAAATATTGGCAATTTCATATGCTTAAATTCAGTAGAACAAATAAGTCCAAAACTAAGGGATGTATCAAGAAGTCATTATTATACCTCTCAAAAAAAATTTCATTGAAATCACCTTTCTTCATCCCACATGGAATATATTAGGGATTCATTGATTTAGCTTTCACTATTTACTTTTTTAATCATCTCCTACATGACAGTGAAATTTGCTGATTCAGCTGGATTGGCATATTAAAGGTCTCTCCCTTTGCAATGGGCAGGCACTGTGCTAACAGCACTTTGCAGAATTATCTTCTAAATGCTAACAATGACCATTTAAAGTGGGTATTGGCCTCCCCATTGCACAGGTGAGGAAACTGAGGCTCAGAGCAGTTAAGTAACTTCCCCTTCCCTATCAGTAGGGAGGCCAGGGATCAAATCTGGGTCTACTTGATTCCAAAGCTACAGCAGGGCTAGTAGGCTCTGCATTTAACCTTCTAGTCCTGTAGCAAGGTTGTTTATACTCCATTCCAGTGAGCCAAAGAATCATAAATAATTTTGTTGACTACAAGATAGTATTAAAATTCCAACCTAATTGGCTACATAATGGGAAGAAAAAAGTATTTTGAATTAAATAAAAATAATAAACAAGTAACTTTAAAATGAATGCACTTGCCAAATCTGATCTGTTATTCAGACTTTCTTTAGTTCTCCATAGTACTTCTGCAATGTATCTATTGCTTGAGAAATCCTATAACAACCATGAATTGGTATGATATGCAAAGAGAATTTAACGTGTATTTGGAACACTGAACAAGTTTTGATTTTTAATCATTTCTTAGGGAAAATATTTTTGAAGCATTTTTCTTCATTGACAAAGGCAAAGACCTATCCCCCCTGGATAACTAAACTCTGTTGTTATACATGGATTTGGGTTTCTTTTTCAGCAGAGGGATGTGGAAGTCAGAATCACAAACTAATATTTGGAGGACACTGAGTATTTAGTTTCTTGCCCAGCCCATGTAGCTCAGTAGATTGAGCATTATCCCAATTCGATTCCCAGTCAGGGCACATGCCTGGGCTGTAGGCTTGATCCCCAGTAGGGGTCGTGCAGGAGGCAGCCAATCCATGTTTCTCTCTCATATGAATGTTTCTCTCTCTCTCCCCCTAAATAAAATTTGATAAAAACATATTTTAAAAATAAAATAGTTTCCTATTAATAGTTTTGGTAAGTCAATCAATATACTAAGAGCTAGTATAAAAATATTTTAATCTTTGGCACTTTTTAGATTAAATTTATAATTTTTCTTTGTATTACTGAAACAGATACTACAGATGAAACACAAAATTTAATCTGCAAATTGTAGATTTGTTTCTAAGTCTACTCTAACAATGATTTAAAATGATGCAAAAACAGATTTTCAAGCAACCTCTTAGAATCATCATTGCTTAATGTAAATCTGTTACAAAGTTAAATAGAACACTTTTGAATTGTGCATTTGCTGAGATAGCCATTGGACAAAAACTATGTAAAGACGTGGACACCAAAAATACTTGAAAAAGGTTTAGCACTAACTAGCACAGAAAAATTGACACTGGAAATTTGTCAGTGGTTTTGCTAATGCTCTTTCTCAATGATGACAATGCCAAGCACACTTGTAATTTTAAAAAGTGGGTTGTCAGAGAGTAGTTTTATTAAAATAAACATAATTTGGTTTTAACAAAATCATGTAGCTATGCATGGCGAAATATATTATATGGAGGAGAGGTATTCACCCTGAAGAACTTTCAATCATGGACAGGACTATAGGAAATATTGCTTTGTTTTTATTTAACTAAAGTCTGGATATAGGCATTTTCTGTTTGAACTGTTGCAGCCATGAAGAATTTCTCCTTCTCCACCTGGCAGGTTTTCAGTATTTAAAGAAAGAATGTGCCTATCCTGATTTCCCTTTCCAAACTAAGCATCACGGCTGACTCCACCACATTGCTCGCTGTGCCCTCACAGCCTGAGCCCTCTGCATGTGCTCCAATACTGGTATTTCCCTCCAACATCCTCCAAGTTTGCAGGACTCCCCATGAAGAGGACAGCATGTTTCATTCATTCTAGATTCTAAATTCACATGTACGTGCTTTTCATAGATTTTTAGGCCCAATCTTCAGAGATTCAAATTTGATTGGTCTGGAGAGGTACCAGGCATCAGTATTTTTTAAAAGTTCATTAATTCCAAAGGGTATCAGGTTGAGAATCATTGTCCTAAACCATTTTAGCTCTGTGCCATTAATGTTGATTAAATGTTTGACTCCCAGGGTGGGGCCTTAAATACCTCCTTATTAAATTTGCTTTTTACATTGTAGCAAATTCCTTCAGACTATTAGTCTCTTTTGAATTTCAATACTGTTCTTCACTCTTTCATGATCTACCCATCTTTTCTCGAGTTCTTTGTCTAAAATGAAATCTCTGTCATTTCATTAAACTGTTTTGTGTATCATCAAGATATAGTTTTGGATCGATGTTAAATCCTAAAGAGTTTAAGTTTGTTGAATATAGGTATTTTTAAGATGTGCTTTTGTTTTGAAGTGGACTTGTCTCCCAGCTGAGAAAGTTATATCCAAAAACCCGGGCGGAAAAGATGCATCTATGCCTGGATATCCCTGTTTTGCTGATTGTCTTTTAGTCAATAATGACAGCCCCTTGGAACTGGCCTTGGAGCCTCGGTGGCAGAACAGCTCTTTGTGCCAGTCATGTTCCCTGTAATGTAGTCGTCAGTCAAGATTCATAAAGCATCAGTTATTGGGAGGAGTCAGTAAAGACCTGAAGGATCACCATCAAACAGCGTTTAGTTAGAGTTTATAGGAATCTAGGGCTGAGTGGAGCCCAGGGAATGAGGATTCCCAGATGGGGCTGGCCTAACTGGTTTAAAAAGTGGTCTCCTGTCATCCCATTTCCATGATCTCTGTCTGTCTCACTGGGGTAAAGTTAGGATCTCATTCTTGAACAAAGCACAAAAAGATTCGTCTGTCTTGGGGATAGACGAATCTCTCTGCTGTCATCTGTTCTTGCCTGTATTTACCATCTGAGTGCTATTTTCTGTCTTAACTGATGTCTTTACTTTCCACCTATGGGCCATAACCTGTTGTTCACAGTCAACGAGTGAGACCAAGTAGATGGGTTGGCTGACCTTGAAATGTGGTGGAAACTCTGACCGAACAACTCTAAAGTCAAAGCTGATTTTCTTAAGTGTGAAACAAACATGGATTCCTTCTGTCGAAAGGCTCTCTCTGGTCCAGACCAGATAATTCAGCTTATACATCAGACACAGTAAGAATGAGCAACAATAACTAATCATAAAATATAACAATTAAAATAATATTCTGTAAACATGTGAATGTGGTCTCTCTGTCAAAAGGTGATGTCGCACTGTAGTCACCTTTTCGCTTAAAGGAGGCGCTGTATAGCTTGTCTTGGGCCGGCCTGAATGGCCAGCATCCTACTCTTGTGCTTTGGGACCATCACTAAGTAAAATAAGGATTACCTAAAGGCAGGTACTGGGCTACCCGGACAGCTGATCTGATAACCGAGATGACGACTAGGTGACTTAACGGGTGGGCAGGGCATACAGAGTGGATATGCTGGACAAAGAGAGAATTCACTTCCTGGGCAGAACAGTGCTGCACAATTGAAAACTTATGAATTGTTTATTTCCGGAACTTCCATTTAATAATTTTGGACTATGGTTGACCAGGGGTAACTGAAACCATGGGAAGCAAAACTGCGGATGAGGGGGATGACAGGAATGTTTATAAAAATGTTTTGAAAAGCAAAAAAATGATATTCAGTGAAAAGTACTCCTATGTTCCTTTCATAACTAACGTGAGTTTGGTGTCCCTAGTGTACCTGACACAGCTCTGTGGATGTTCATGCTGGGTGGTAGTGGAATCCATTTTCACAGCATTTGTTTTATTTTCTGAGCATACTTGAATCATCTGTTGGAACCGAACTCTGGGACCTATAGTTAACACCTTCTGATTTATTTTCCCTTACATGGCATTGTTTTATGTAATTTTCAACATTATATAAAATTTCTATTGTGCACGTTATACTCACCTGGTACTTGCAAACTCTAGATTAAGCATTACCGTAAGTCACCAAAATTTAAGACAGTTAAAAAAATGTTAAAAAAACAAGTCATTAAAAAAAACCGTTCACAGTTTTAGAAAAATTAATTTGTTTTTATTAAAATTTAATATTTAGTATTTAAAATAGGTAAATGGTTAATTTTTATTCAAAATGTAATGGAATTTATGACCAGTGTGCACAACTGACCAGTAATGTGACTTAAAAAATAGAGACAGCTTTTTGCCCTGGCTGGTGTGGCTCAGCTGCTGGGTGTTGTCCTGAGCCCCGAAAGGCTGCTGGTTCAATTCCTGGTCAGGACACATACCTGGGTTTTGGGCTTGATCCCCGGTAGGGGGTGTGCAGGAGGCAGCCGATTGATGTTTCACTCTCACACTGATGTTTCTCTCTCTCTCTCTCTCTCCCCCTCTTTCTTCCCCTCTCTCTAAAAACAAATAAAACATCTAAAATAAATAAATAATAAATAAATAAATAATAAATAAATAAATAAGGACAGTTTATAATATTTGTGCAACCAGGTAACATTTTATTTATGAAAATGCTTCAGAACATGCTAAAATATGCAGAGTATGACTAGGTAGGTGTATTTTTTTTTTTTAATCTAATTTTCTTTTCAGGACCAGGAAAACGCTAAAAGCTTTATAGCAAAATATGAAATAAAAATAAATGCTCTACCTGCAATATCAAAGTCGGGAAAGTAATCGGGGCAGGGCTGATGAGACGTCACGCCCGCCGGTGTGTCATCCCAGCACAGCCATCCATCCCAGGTGCGGTTGCAGAAGGGACCTGGCCATTTAGGAAGAAATGAACACTGCCGTTGTCAAAAACTGCAGAGGCCTGAGCAGGACGTGATAGTGCGCAGACAGTTATTCCAGGGCTCTTCACACGGAAATATGTTTAGAAAACAACAGTAGCAGCAGCAGCAACAAAATAAAGGTATTAACTTTACAAACTCCGAACGGAATTGACATTTTTGTAGCATGTTCTCCATTTGTTCCTCAAAAGACACGTGTCTTCTGTATGGAATCTTTCAATCCAAACTCTTTTCTTTAAAATATCTCTGGAGCCCTGGCCGGTTTGGCTCAGCGGTTAGAGCGTCGGCCTGCGGTACGGAGAGACCCGGGTTCAGTTCCCGCTAAGGGCATGTACCTCGGTTGCAGTTTGTCCCCGGCCCTGGTTGGGTTGTGCGAGAGGCAGCCACTTGATGTATCTCTTTCACATCGATGTTTCTCTCTCTCTCTCCCTCCCACTCTATCTGAACAAAATATGGAAAAGTGTCCTCGGGTGAGGATAAAAATAAAATAAAATAAAATATCTCTGGAAATGTTATAAGAGAACTCATGTGAAAGTGGATGCAAAATCCCCTTAGATAAATTTTACCTTGAAAAAACTGTATGATTTTGGAACATATATATCCTACTAACCACCAACTTCAAAGTGGCTGCCTTGGGTGGTTCTATTCTTAATTCAAGGGTGATGCAATTGTTCAAAATTCCCACTGAAGGTGCATTTGCAGCTAGTTGGATCGCATATACACAGTCTCATACTTTAGAATCACACTTCATTAATGGCTAAAATAATGGTCAGTTTGATCACTTTGTGTGTTCATCAACATTGGCTCCAAGTGGTTTCTCACTGCTTTCAAAAATTAAATCTTGAACATAAGCCTCAAACTTGAAGGCTTATCTCTATAAAGACATTCAAAAGAATAAACCTCAAGCTTTGAAGGCAGTTCTTCAAAAATGGTCAGTAACACAAAAGTTCAACCTCCCAATGTAACTAAGACCAAAAGAAGATGACTGTACTCACTTGGTCTCTGAAAATAGCAGTTTTGTGTTTCTATTGTTTCATTTACTTCAGAGAAATGGTTTCTTTTTAGTGGTGAGTTGCATCTAATGCCCTTTCACGTTTTTAAGAAAACAAAAACACTGAAACTACTGCAGACAGAAAAGTAACATCCATCTACCTATCTTTGAAAAAAAAATTCTCTTTATTGTTGAAAGTATTACAAATGTCCCTCCTTCCCCCCCCCATTGACCCTCTCTTCCCTGCTCCCGTCCCCGCCTTCACTGCACTACTGTCTTCCAATTGACTCGATTTTTGTTTAAACAAAAATGGGAACGACAAATTAAAATGTTAACTATTTGAAGGCGAATTACATGTAGTAACAGAGTATATTTAACCAATCTCCCCCTCCTCCTGCCTTAGACTATACAAGGAGTGTTGTCTTAGACTATACAAGGGTATGAGATCTTGCTGGGTCTTTTCAAATGATTTATAGGAGACAGGGCAGGGAATGTAAATGGACGTAGCAATGCTTGGCCAACGCATATCCTATCTTTTGTTTCCCTGTGGGCCTTCTATAGCTAATCAAATATGCTTGGCCCTGAGAATATTTGGGCAATCACAGAGAGCATTCTAGAGAAGATGGTAGATAAATAATTCTGCCTAGGAGATCTCTTTTTCTAATTCATCGGGGAACTGGAGGTAGAAAAGGAGAAGGAATAGCATGAGTTACCGACCCACTGCCAGGGAAGGGAAGACAGGCCGAATTAACCCAAATAAGACCAAATTTTCACAGGTTCCACCTCAGGCAAATTCTCTGTCCACCACTGTCCAGTTCCCTTCTTGTCATTTTCCAATTCCTTTCCCTCACTTAGTCCTGCACCATTCCTGCTTGCCAGGTGGGAATACTGAGTTATTGCAGTCATTTTGTCCTAAGTGCAGATGTTAGCCAGAAAGTCTTTGGATGAAGTTGAGCAAAGGAACTAGGCATGTCTGCTGCATGAATTACACAAGCATACATGATATGAAAACCACTGTTAACACTGCTGGCACATGAAATTAAAATTAGTCGATATATATTTACTCACAGAAGAAAATGAAGCTGCAATGGCATTTGAAGCACATGTTTTACATGCATCTTTCTTTTTACCTTCTCCTTGGTATGGGGGTAACTGCTGCATCCGTCTATAGCATCTGGTCTGTGCATCCATCAGTTTCTGTCGTCCTACAATGTACAGAAATGGCTCGGGCTCTGTTGGAACAGTGGTGACATTTGCCATGGTTGGAAGTGCCAGGGTTGGATACTGTATTAAAAACAAAAATCAGTTACTTATAGAGAGCACAGATGGGTGTGGACACAAATAAATGAAACAATAAAAAATTCAAAAACATTTATTTTTCCTCCTATCAGCAACAATTATGCATGATCTCTATGTAGAATATTTTTGCTTTATAACATAATTCCATTCACTATTGAAAACGTAGAGCAGCCGTACAAACTCATGCGCCTCTTTGTCATATAAGATTGTTTTAATTTTATTATCACTATAAAGTTTAGATGTACACACAGAAAATAACCCAATTTCCAAAATATACTAATATCAAATCAATTTTGTTTTCTTTGGAGCTCAAGAATAATTAATTGTGGTATTAAAAATAGATACATTAATGTACTAAATAAGCTTTTACATTGGATTTCTTCAGCTGATTTTTATTTGTGCTTAGGTTATACACACTGCCAAAAATTTACCCCATTTTTCCCATAGAACAAACAAATTTGTTCTGAGATGTTCTGCCTTGAATAATTAGCCTTAATCTCTTTCATTGGTTTAATCAGCAGATGATCTATACAGGGTCATTCATTTTCATTGGTAAAAATTCATGTAAATCTTGAATATTTCTTTTAGATATTTTGCATTTTTGGTACATGCTGACATTACTTTTGTCAGTCTCAGTTAATCCTTATCACCATCATAGGTCCTGTTTATCAAAGTTGATGTGTGTGTGTGTGTCTAAAAAGATCACTGTCTAATATATTGTCCTGAATTGTGTTCAGTTTGTTTTGTGGCTATAATGTTTTAGTGGTGTTTGAATCTACGTTTTTTTTTGTTGTTGTTTCTGTTTTTGTTTTTAACATCCAGGTTCTGCACAGAGACTTTTTTGGAAAAGACTTGCAAGCTTCAGCCTGCACTGCCTTTTCTTTTTCAGAAGTTAGGAATATTCCTCGCTCTCTCTCTATATATCTGTTGAAACATACTTTTATTTAGCTTTACTCTGTCTAAATTATTCTAACATTAAAGTTTCCCCAAATGTGTTGATGGCAGAAATAGTGTTATATAGTGTTATCTATTCCCCACGGTCTCTAAAACAAAATCATCCTCATTAAGTTATCCTGTATACCCCAGGCCATTAATGGTACAGCCTCACTGTTTTTCTCATGTCCGTCATTGTGTAGACAGGGCATCCTGTCCTATGAGGCAGCATGCCACTAAGTGATAAATTGTACAGTGTACAATACAATACAAATTTAGAGTGGAGAGAAGGCATGGAGCAAGAGTAGTCAGGGACTGCTACAGACACATGGTAGAATCTGAATAGGACCTTGAGTATATGTAGTGTCTGCACAGGCAGAGAGGGGGGGGAAGGCTTTGAAATGCTTGTAAGTATAGAGTAGGAAATGGCATGTGTGAGACACTGGAAGGAAACCCTCCGGCTGGAGGGGAGCATACTTGAGGGTTAGTAAGAAACAGAGTCAAGAAAAATCAGATAATACAGAACCTGGGGAAAACAAATACCAAGTGCTGGGACACGAAAGGCTCAATGAATTTTAGCGAATATTATTAAACATGGTAAGAAATAAAGATATTTTGTAGCATTTTGATCAGTGAAAGCTGTGAATGGAAAGCGTTAGTAAAATTCCCGTGGTAGGCATCAGATGCCCAATGATTAGTTGGAGAGACCAGCCAGGAAGCTGCAGTAATGGACCAGATGGTCTTGTCAAGGAACAAGAAAGAGCAACTCTCAGCACTTTCTCAAATAATAACATGAAGGCAGATTTGAATATAAGGAATGGAGAATAGTATTAGTCAAACAGCCAGATATTTTAGCCCATATTACTGGAAAAAACTGGTAGGACTCTGAGAAAGGGGACAAATTAGGAAAGAAAATTCTTACTACAGGGAAGACGGAAAGTTCCCTCTTAGACTTGTTTTGGAGGGGCCAGCAAGCCATCTGACTGGAAATCATTTGCCAAAAGAAGAGGGGAAATAATTATTATTGTTATAACTCTAGTGTTGAAACTCTAGATGGACACTTATTGTGAATATAGTTGACACTACTCTTAAAATATTAGGATTATTTCTAAATTTAATGCCTCTGGAATTTATTGGAGAGTAAGGAGAAATTAATGAGCCAACAAAAATGATTTCAAAAGTGCAAACCCTTTACTAATGTAGATGAACACCATTCTGTTGTCATATGACCCTTTTCCCACTGTTTTTAAGATCAATCAATCAGCAAATAGTCATCGAACTTGATGAGCTAGATGCTGAGGATACCGCGCTCAATAAAACAAGCACAGATCCTGCCCTCAAAGAGCTTACAGTTTAGCAAGAAAGATCAACACTATAAAATATTTCCTGACACCAGAAACTTGAAAGGTAAAGAACTATCAGTCATTAAATGCTCAGATATTCCATCATGAATTGGAACATGATTTGGGAGTAAAAGAAGTATTTTAAAGAGATTTAATACGAAGGCTTCTTTCTGGGTTGTATTAGTCTAACATTTCTATGTATGTGTATGTTTTAATAATTCTACTAAAGATCATGTAACCATGATCTTTCATAAATCACGGTGTCCTCACGATAAAAGATATTAATGATTGGTTCAGCTTATTTATCTATTTTAGATTCTTTGTGGCTCTATTATTAGAATCTTTAGTTGATATGAGAATTCTCATTTGATATATGATTTATTTCTGTGCCACTTTCCCACCATCTTCAAATCAAATTAGAAGATGGACTATGAGATGTGTAAATCTTTTCTGTCACTTCTATTAGATATGTTAGACAGTAGGGACTATTTTGCTTAAGTTTAGCATTCTTTCCAGAAGTAACATTCTGCATTCTATCCTTAAATGGACTGGACAACAGATTAGATCATGTTCCTGCACTACCTGGAGATCCGTGGGAGCCATGGGGAGGCAGGATGTGCAAAGATATCGAGGGGAAAACCCTGTGCTTGTATTTTCAGTTACATTATGTGGTTTGATGCAGCTTTAACATCAGTAATAGTGGATAAAGGAGCATCTGAAAGACCAGGTGCATTTCATGCAGATGACAGTAGCTTCAATCTTACCATTCTTGCAATATCGAAACAATCTCCAGTGAACTTGGTTTGGAGCCAGTTCAGTAGAGATTGTTTCTGCACCGAAGGAATGAGGAATTAGAACCTTCTTATAAAATGAGCCATAATAATCTGAGTTTGCTTCTGGTCTGGTTCATATTTGAGCATGGAATTTTTGATGATGAATTTTTCCAGTGGTAGCAGAATGTTTTAGTGACTTTCTTCTGAAAATAACATATACATCAAGGTATTCTCTTATACACAGGGTGGGGAGAAGTAGAAGTTGTGAGTATGTGAAACAGTTTATTCTTGTGTTATTATTTATTAACTATTGTATTATTTTCCATATAAACAACTGTTAACCTACTTTTGCCCCACCCTGTATCTATGTATAACAGATATGTTGGTATAGACATAAATACATAATTATTTATATATAAATAGGTACAAAATACATAATTATATACATGATTATTTATATATGACGATATATAAAATTATAATATATAATTCCAATCATAGAATTACCACTAATTAAAAAATAACACATACATAAACAAATTTTTATAAAGTTGATTAAACACATGAAAATTCTGCTGATGATTTCAAACAAATAAAAATCACTAGGGAGGTGATATAATTTTCAGCAATAAAGCAGCACATTAGAGGCAGTAGTGAAAGGTAAAACTACCAAGCAAAATAAAATACCTAAAAAATATTCTACGTCTCATGTGTTCTGTTTATACTAGGTATTTGGGAGATGCAAATAAATACACGATTCTCCGCTCCCACGAAGATAGACAAGAGACAGGAAGGGTGCATAGTTGTTTAGAGTGAAGATGGGTGCTCAGTGTTTTGCACACAAGCCGTGTCACATGAATCTTCCAGAAGCCGGCGAAGCCACCTGGGACGGCGTCCTGTGCGGCGGCTTGGCGGCCATATACGTGACGTCACTCCCCAGGACTCAGTAAATGGCGCCACGCATACGACCACCAAGCGGCCGCGGCAGTGTCGTGCGCGGACTCCTCGCGGTTCTTCCGTGAGTACATCCTCTGCCTCCCCGGTGCCAGCCCTGTTTTAGGTTCCGGAGACTCAGCGGGGACAAAACTGGCCGGGCTCCTGCCCTCACGCAGCTCACAGCCGAGGAGGTGTCTTCCAGGCCGATCGCGGGGTCCGGAGGGAGGGAACCTGACTCGCACGGTCATGCACGTCGATGGAAGACGACGAGCCTACTGTGTGTCCCAGGCGGGTTCTCGAGGTACAGAGACCTACAATGGCAGAGCTGCTCTGTGTACAACTTGGAGAAATGGGCCGTCTCTGCAGTGTGAACCCCGTGGATGCGGGACCCCGGCGACTGTGCTGCAGGGAGAGGTCCCCGCTGCCTGCCACAGACTGAACTGCTCTCCCTGGGCCTGGAGTCCAGAACCACAAACGGGTATAACCGACAGGGTTTCCACATCGCCGTCCTTACTGACGATAATGTATGTGGAAGAATTATTCGCAGTTTTCAGTTACTTGTACTTTTCAAAGTAACAAAGGGTGCAATTGAACTTCGTGAAGTGTCAGCCCTGGTTCTCTGAGGTGGGATCAGCTGCCTCCAGGGTGTCCTACATACTCTCTACCTGAGCAGTAGACACCAGAACTGCTGCGGATATGACAAACTCGAAGCCAATAGGGGGATGCAGCGAAGGAAGCAACACAAAACGCTTCTCATCACTGTTGTCATCGTTGTTGTGGTCGTGGTCATCATCATCATCACCACCACTAGCATTTTTCGAGTGCTCCTGTGTGCTAAGCACTGTTCTAAGCCTATTATTGCATTACTGCAGTAAGGGAGAGGCGGTGAGGGGGTGGTTTTGATTGATGTAGATGAGCCTAATGGAATGTTGTGACTCAAACTGGTACTTCAAAGTCCATTTGGAAATCAGGTTGATAGAATTCAATAAATATACTGCTAGTGCTTTTTCACAATAATGTATCTAAGAAGTGACATTTTGGAGTAACTAAAATCAATGTCATTTAGTTAAAAAAAAAAGTACTTTTCTCTGAGGAGTATCAACATGGAACATAATGAGTGTTGTGAAAGGAAATGGATGTATCAAAAATGTTTTATGGACAATTCCTTCAAATCAAATACATAATACAAATTCCAACAGAGAAACACATTTCTGTATACAAACAGCACAAAACTTGGAGTGCCCTTGCCCTGTGCAGTTATGTTTGCTAGGAAAGATGCCCACTAACCGCAGAACATTTCTGTCCATGGCTCATGCAAATATAAAAAATTCTTTCTATCTTTGAATGTTACAATATATCAGGTAAAAGTTTTGAATAAAAGTGACCTACTTTAGTTTTTAAGACACCAAAAATTACTGTAGCCTTTGTAATAAAAAAGGTGAGATGATACTCAGACTGTCTTGTTATTATCTAGTAGTTACTTTACCTTTTCTTTTGTCAATGTCTAATATAATTATATGCTTTATGAATAAAACTACTTAGAAATATTCACATATAGTTGATCAAATAGTATTTCATTTGAGCTACAAAAAATAACAATATCAATATATAAATAGAATATACCAATATTTCTGCATCTAGAGAACAGCAATAAGGCTCAGGCGTTTACAGACAAAATAAAATATTCTAATAGTTTCTACAATATTCTTGTTTAAATGTTTTATTATATTTCCAATGGTATAAAGTTACCTGCATTTCTAAATATTAGATTACGTTTAGCATATTACACTGTACTTTACCTAAAGATTTAAATAATATGATAATCTTACATAATAAAATAAACTATACTTATTATCCAAATAGATACAAAAGGGCTACATTTAAGTTATTCCTGCAAATCATTTATTTGATGTATAACATTACAAAAAAAAATTCTCTTTAAAAATTATATTGTTTATAGAATGTTAGTAATATTTTTCCTTGAATAATGTAAAGTTTATACAAACTTGTAAGCCTGTGACTACACATTAAAGAAACAATGGAAATCATAAAACCCTATGCAATCTTTGTTTAGGTAAGTATAAGAGAATCAGATACTAAGTGATCTTTACCGTCAGCTACAATTCATTGGCCAGTGTTGTGATGCGGTAGAGAGGATACAGATCAAGACAACTTGAAATTTATTTATATAAAATTAACTCATTTCCCTTTCATTTGCTATTAAAATGATGTGATGGTGGCGTAAAAAGTTGACAAAAAAACAAAAAAAAACAGGCATTGATAGGGCTTTTTAAGACAATTATAGTTCTGACTACTTGCTTAATCATTTAGTAATAAAACAATATAAAATTATGTAAAGTAGACATGCTGTCAAAAGCTGGAGTTATGGAGTGACTGTGGTAATGTTAAACTTAAAACTTGGTCAGGTTTTGATAAGAAATACATTTGAGAATCAATGAACAGACCAGAAGAGTTTAGATGTTTTAAAGCGACAGCAATCCCAAAACTATGATACAGAGTCACATGGCTAACATGAAAAACATTTTCTACAAAAACATTATTAACCTTCGATGTTAATTTCCAAGATAATAAGGAGATGTCTCAAATTAATGCTAGATTTTTGTAAACCAAGAAGGCTCACATTTCTGGGTAAACCTAACACTAAACCAAATCAGTGTAAGTTCTGAGGGGAGATTTCTTAACAAAATATTAAGAAAATGATAGTTTTGAGGAACTTAGTTTTGGCCTCTGGAGAACAATGTTTATTCTTACTAATGTCCATTCACTCATACCAAAAATACCCCTCCATATTTCAGCATTCGTGAGTAACATAACTTAGAATAATTTTGTTTTACTTACATTCATAAAGATGAGGAGTATGAAGCACCAGCGAGTAAATGGGATCTGCATTTTTGCGGTTGAGTTTGACTTTTTCATTCCTAGAAAAATAAAAAAATAACAAAAACTAAATTAATATAACTTTAATATTGAGTATAGCCTTTTTTTTTTTTTTTTTTTTTGTCTTTCTATTTGACTTGTAGAGGATCAAGGTTCCTAGACACCCTAAGTAAAATCCATGTAAGTAAGAACAGGATGCTTGGAGATGCATGTTCCATTGCCCTTCCTGTCTGCCAGGAAAGAGTGTTGTCTGGTTGTTGTTGAAAGTCCTCCTTAAGGTAATCTGGAGTCACCTTTATATATCAAGACCAAAATAAAGAATTCAGAGACATCAAGAGCAATGAATGTGGACTTCAATGAACATTTGGTATCAATAGAACTGCTGAAAATTTCAATGGAAACATCCAGAAAGAAGCCATCTGATTGGGCATGAACAAATAAAATCTGTGGCTTGTAAAGAATTCATAATAATTAAAAGGCCAACTTTTACTTAAGAAGTCTTATTTAGAACCTGGAGTTTTTTTCTTTCTTATAATTTTTTCTTCAAGCTTCAAGTTGCTATTAAGAATATATTTCTTCCACTGCAATGATTATGTCACCTAAAAGGTCACCATTCTTACTCAAGACCATGAGAGTCAGAAGCAGACATCAACAGTTTTTCATGACTGCAGATAGTTTTATGTAAGGAAAGATAATAAAGGGGTAAAACAAATTCTTCACGCACACTTTATAGTAGAATTGAGTTGTACTGAACCTGTGTCTAGTCAGAAAATCTCAAATGTAATTGTCCAGGGCCAAACAATACCTTGTAGTCATGACTCTCTTTGAGATAAATATTTCATGGTGATTAGTGATGAGGCGAGAAAGAACATATAGGTAGAGGTGTAAAGAATGACAGGGCTTTATGAATTGAGGGTGAAAAACAAGGCCAAAAAGATAGAAGCATAATGGAGAATGAAGTAATTCACCTTCTTCAAGGTTCTTCAAGGAAAGAGAAGAAAGAATGAAGAGAGTTAAGAGCAACAGACATGGAAAACCCAAGATAAACTAACAGAGACCTATAGCTTAATTGAATTGATAATAAGGATGGATAGGTTTCAGAATGGAATCTAGAGAGACTAATGTGTAGTTTTTGAGAAAAGGGTTCAGAATTCAGTGGCCTTGAAGAGAATAGTTTCAAGCTAAGGCTTAGAGAATTAAACCTGAACCCAGGTAGAAAAGGACAAAATCAGGCAAACGGCAGGTGATGCAGATAAAAATGCAACTTGGAAGTTTTCAATTTGGAATGGGAACAGGTGAGACAGATAAACTGTGATCAGACTATCATCTGGTACACCTAGAAAAGGACTCAGAGAAAACCAGAACAAAGCTTAACTTCGACATCGGTTTATTTATTTGCTTCTTGATACTTTCCCTATTGCTTCTCTTCAGCAAGGACTTTGCTCGATCGTATAACCCTAGAACCTAGAAAAGTCTGGAATATGGTAAATGCTCAGTAAAGGTAACGTAATCATTATAAAGTTTTTCTTTAAATTGTTTAAGGACCGATTTCCTGACCCTCACCAGTTAGTTAAGTTGGTTAGAGCGTCGTCCACATCCAACAGGGTTTCGGGTTAAATCCCTGGTCAGGGCAACCAATAAATGCATGGATGAGTGGAACAACAAATAAAGGTTTCTCTCTCTCTAAAAAATAAATGGATTTTTTAAAATAGGACCCATTTCCCTGAAATTTGAGTGTCTTGAAAAGTATCTTTTAAAGGCTCTATTGATTAGCTGGATTCCTCTGTAAAACAGAAATTAAGCAGGATTAATGCCATCAGGGATGGCCAATAGTGCTGGGACCCTGAATGTCAGCCATGATGACACAAATAGCTTTCTTCCTAGCAGTTGTTTTCTGCCGTAACCCAAACAGCTAATCTTCAGTGCTCTGATCTAAGGTAGTTATCTGAAACAATGGTGTCAAAGTCCATGCAATGTGGCAAATTAGTATTTCGGGTGAAGTGAACATTTTGCAGCCTGTTTTATTAAAATCAAATCTTGGTCCTTGTGAGGAACTTGCATAACTCACTCTGCCAGTTCACTTTTTAAAAATCAAATATATAAAGAAGTTACGGTGCATAAAACAAGACTTAGCCAATCACAAATTTAATTAGAAACACCAAAGAAGTCATCTTAATAAATGTGATTTGGTTTGGGGATGTAGATGGGATAATAACCGAGAAGCACACAGCTCAAGTTCAGTGAATTCAGGATGTGTGTATGGGCATCTAGGTAACCTAGATCCGTAAGTAATCCCCATTCATATTTTCCCAATATCTGACCAAATTTCTAACGACATTTTTTTGTATTTGTCCTGCTGCTCTGTTGGTTTGCATTCAGTGATAGTAGCTAAAAGGAGCACCGGAGAAGTAAGAGCTAGAATTTATGCAAAGCCAATGAACTGAATTGGAATAACAGAATTGACCAAGAGTTGACTCGAACAGGACCTGTGACTCTTCTCTACCTTGACCGGCAGGCAATAGCTTCTCCAGTGCAAGTTGACTTTCACATGAGTTCACTGCTTCTCAGCTGCTGTTAACGTGCACAGTTGTTAAGGGGCAGGCCTTCCTGGGACCTGAGCTAACTGCTGGCAGGGAGGTGACAGGTAACAAAGCTCTTTTCTTGGCCCCTGTTCTCTGCTGCTGGAGTGAAACACATACCCCTTCAACCTCAGGCTGTAGGTTCCGGAAAGTTCTGATATTCTTTGGAAAGATAAGTGGAAACCTAATGTTTATCCAGAAAACCTATGTATTATCTTGGTTGATTGATAGCCAAGAATACATGGTAGTCTTTAGTTACATTAAAATGTATCATTAAAACGGACATTTTTCTTTTAAGAAGAAATAGTGGGAAAGGATGAAAGGAAACTAAAATGAATTAAGTACATACTTAGAGCCAGGTAATTTAATATGTTACATTATCTCCACATCAAATGCAAATAGCATTATCCCCACTTTATAGGTAAGGAAACAGTGGTTCACAGATGTTAAATGACTTGACTAAGTTCTCACAGTCAATGAGGGGCAGAGACAAAATTTAAAAACATTTCTTCAAAACTATGTTCTTTCCAAATTTCACACTGATTCTAAAATATGCACATTTAAAATCAATATTAGGTAATGACAGTTTGATAATAAGTTACCAGTGATTTTTTTTTTTAATTGGTCAATGCTTTAAAGAGTATATAATATAGCCCAGCTGGTGTGGCTCAGTGGATTGAGCATTGTCCCATGGACTGAGAGGACCCAGTTCCATTCTCGGTCAGGGTACATGCCCGGGTTGCAGCCTCCATCCTCAGTAAGGGGCATGTAGGAGGCAGCCCATAGATGTTACTGCCAGTGATTTTCTTTTGATTACCTGCATTTTCTAATTTTTACCGTATACAGGAATTACTTTTGAAATATAGAAAAGAAGCAGAATAAAAAGAGAAATATTAAGTCACTTTTATCCCAGGTTTTATTTAGTGTTGCTAATAGGAAGGTTCCCTGTGGTGTCTTTGGAGTGCAGAGGAAATGGTGGGGGTGGGGAGAGGAAGTTCTATTCATCTCACCTTAATTGTTTGGGCCTGCTTTCAATCTGCCTCCCAGTAACTGTAAGTATACTTTAAAAAATAGACAGATGATGCGTTATAGAGCCACATACCTGAAAACTAGATCATTGTACTAACCGATGTCACCCCTATACATTTAATTAAAAAAATAAAAAATGAATGTTTGACAACAATCCCCAGTAAGGAATCCCCCACAAATTAAAAGAAGGCACTTAAACCAGTGGGAATGCCATTTCAGTGAGGATATTCTCTATGATTAAAATTCATTCATGATACTAATAGCAAGTTGTAATAAAAAAAATGAGTTAGCAGTACATTTTAGACAGAATGTCTGGTGACTGTTCTAATTACATCTCTTAAGAGTGCCTTGATAGTGATTAGATGTTAAAAATATATCTCACAAATGTAATTACTAAACTATAAAGGGAAATGAATCTCAGTGGCCAATGAAAGATAGTCAGTCAAAACATACCCATAAAAACAATTCCCAACAAAACACAAAGGCAGAATACATTCAGTGAGAGTACAGATACTTGCCCAAGTTTTCCATTTTACTTCCCCCCCCCAAATTTAAAACATATGTTTTTATTGATTTTTTTAGAGAGAGGAAGGAAGAAAGAAATAGAAACACTGACGATCGGCTGCCTCCTGCATGCCCCCACTGGGGATCGAGCCTGCTACCCAGGCATGTGCCCTGACCAGGAATGAATTGAACTGGGACCTCTCAGTCCGAGGGATGACGCTCAATCCACTGAGCCACACCTGCCGGGCTCTGTTTTAATTCTTATCATTGTTTTGCTTCTTTGGAAATTCCCACTAGCAGGGAGAAAACAAATTCTGTTGTGTCTCACATTTGCCTTCCCTAATCTATACCATGATTGAACATTACTTCAATGTAGCTAAAAATAGTTAAGTTTTACAACATCTGTGCTTGAAATAAAGGTAACCCCTGACCGAAAGATAACAGAGCATACGATAGTTACATATCTAGCCTTAGCAGTACTGGTACTCCAAGAATGCAGCAGAAATCCTCGGACTCTGTTATTTCCCCTGTCCAGCAATGTTTTTACTTTCTCTCACTGTATATGAAATCTGTGATCTGCCGTCTTGGGCAGTACTCAAATAGTATTTGTAAATAAGATAGGCCCCGATGTCTACAACAATCCTTAAGATTTTAAGACGAAGAGATAAATATTTAAAATGTTCAATGATTAACATTCTGATATGTCTTTGACCAAAAAATGCCAGATTGGCAACTCTATGTAAATTACACCCATGTCATATCTTGAAATGGTATTTTTTTCTTTTTTTTTATCCTCACCCGAGGACATTTTTCCATTTTTTATTCAGATAGAGTGGGAGGGAGAGAGAGGAAGAGAGAGAGAGAAACATCGATGTGAAAGGGACACATCAAGCGGCTGCC